TTTGATCCTTTGAAAAAATAATATGTTCACATGGTTCAAAAGTCATGATACAAAATGGTACACAATGAGAAGCTTCCTTCCCACTCTTGTTCCTGACCATTTCATTTGCTATATCCCCCCATACCACTACTAAACATGTTTTGAGTATTTTTTTACAGTTTTACTTATGAAGATGAAATAAATGTTTGCATTCTTATTCCCCCTTCACTTCTCTCCTGTACATAAAAGATAGTATTCTACAGATATTGTTTTACACCCTGTAGTGGTTTTATTTTTCATATGTATCCTGAGGATATTTCTATATCAATATACAGAACTTTCTTTTTTGTGTTGTTTTATAGTTGTCCTGTATTCCAAAGGACCATAGTTTATTTAACCCTTTCCTAATGATATGTAAGCTATTTCCAGTCTTTTACAAAGAATGATATAATGAAGAACTTTAAACAGGAAAAGGAAGCTTATTTTAGGCTATTATACATGAGAGTGGATTGAAACATTAAATGGGGATAGTCTGGGGTAGTGAAGGAAGGAGCTCCTTTGTAGAACTAGAAGTATTATGATCAGTTGAATATGTAGCGAATGACCAGGCAGATCTATCTCAAGGGAAAATTTCTCCTTGGATTAGTTTCTTCCAAGCAGGATAAAGACAAGGTTTTAGTGAGACCAGTATCTAGTAAGGGACCTCGCTGTAGAGTTCTGGGTCCTCAAGTTTAATAAGATGTATTTAGTGTTTATTAAATAATGTCCAGTTTTTCCTTAGGAAGAGAGGCAATCATTAATAAAGTCACTTCTCCAAACCCTTACAAGTGTTTTAAGAGGCCAAGATTTGTGATCAAAAATTAAAAAAAAAAAGATTGCCTGATGAAGCTCTAGTAATCTAAACAGATACAGTGCAGCAAACATTGTCAGTGGCCTATACAACATCCATCTGTCTTCAGCTGGACCAGCAGAGCTGTGCCTTAGTCAGGTAGCCACTTCTATGTAGCATAGATTGGCTTCATTCTCATTCCAGGAGTGAATCCTGATTGGTCAAAATCACGTGGCAACAGGCCTTATGAAGACGCTTGGCTGAGGTATTTACATATGACCCAATTTTGCCCAATGACACTGGAAGATGAATTGTCTAGAGGAGCTGGGTAGGCTTTGGAGAGAGCAATTAGAGTCATGGTCGTCTTTTACTTTATTCATGTGTCAAGGGGTGGTTTCTCAAAGGTCAGTACAGTTCTCCTGATCTTGCTATTTTCTGCTTCTTGGGACAAAAACCAGCCACAGCTACTGCACGGGTATCTGGGTCACTGTGGGCTGGGTAGAACAGCAGGCACCTGGGTTGGTACCCCTTCAAACAATGTTCTTTAAATAATTGTGTAATTTTAGTACAGAGGAGTTGTGGAGACATAGATTTTCTATTCATACTTTGCTTACTAAAAAAAAAATTTGCCTTGAATTCACTCCCACTATCTGAAGCAGAGTGATTATTCTGAAAACAACAGTTAGTTTACTTTTCCTCTAGATCTCCTCTTTCCAGATTCTTTCACAATGTTTTGCAACCAGAGAAGGTCCTTTGAGGCACCCTAAAAGGCTTACAATTTAGGTAACCCAAGGGATCACACTTACCATTACCCAGTACAACTCATGCATTATTTAATTTTAGAATCTTTATTCTGCTGACTACTAAGCTACTGGGCTACTGCTTGTGGATATTGTAGGAAAATTCACTGCTCAGAAAGGTGTTTTATTTCATTTTTTAAATTTCTCCTTAAAGGTAGTAGTTTGGAGGGAATCAATTTACATTTTGTCGATTTGTTCCAGTGATAACCATCACTTCACAGGGCAACAGCATCTGATCTGGTTGTTCATCCTCTAATGTGGCTCTGGGTCACAGGGTACACACAAGATGATCACTGAGAGTGGAATTCAAAGTGCCATAGAGGGGCGGGCATTTGGTTAAGACGCTGGTTTGGACACCTGCATCCCATTGTTCTGCAGTTTTCTGCTAACGTGCATGCTGGGAGGCAGCAAACAATGGATCAGATACTTAGGTCCCTGCCACATGCACAAGGAGGACTATATTGAGTTCCTGGCTCCCAGCTTTGGCCTGGTTCATCCCCAGCAGTTGCAAGCATTTGGAAAGTAAATCAGCAGATGGAAGATTTTTGACTCTCTCTGCCTTTCTAACAAAAAATTAAAATAATTTTTAAAATATTCTTTTGAAAAATTCCACAGAGTACAGAAGAAAAAAAAAACAGTGCCTTTTAGTGGCTGCTTGGATGGTTGTTTGTACAGTGGGAAAAAGCATGAGTTTTAGAGTCAGAAATCAGGTCTAATTGGTAGTGCCCAGCATAAAATGAAAGTTTGGGGCCTACTGGCTGAAAAAACTAAGAATTAATTGGGGCCAGTACTGTGGCATAGCAGGTAAAGCCACTACCTGCAGTGCAGACATCCCATATGGGTGCCTGTTTGAGTCCTGGCTGCTATGGCCTCTCTGCTATGGCCTGGAAAAGCAGCAGAAGATGGCCCAAGTCCTTGGGACCCTGCACCTATGTGGGAGACCTGGGAGAAGCTGCTGGCTCCTGGCTTCTGATTGGAGAAGCACCGGCAGACGCAGCTATTTGGGGAGTGAACCAGTGGATGGAAGACTTCTCTCTCTCTCTTTCTCTCTCTCTCTCTCTGCTGCTCTGTAAATTTGCCTTTCAAATAAATAAATAAATCCTTTAAAAATAAAGAATTAATTACAGCAACAGGGCTCTGTGGGGGCTTTGTGTAGGTGGCACACCCATGTATTCCACTCTTCTACATGGCCTTGGGTTCAAATCAGTCATACTCTCGAGTCATTTTCCCTTGGAAAGTTGGTATGATAGTGAAGTAAAAAGCATTTGACACATGATGGGTGCATGTTCATTTTACTTTCTTAGTCTAAGTTGTGGACTCTTTTCTTTGGTTCTCTAGGGTATCCATCTATGACCTATTCTCATTTCCCACTTTCCTTTTAAAATACTTCAAAGGGAAATATAAAATAGCCCATCTCTGGTCATTTAGCATCTATAAAACAGAAATTTTATATGGTCAGCCTCATAAAAACTCCTTAGTGTGACTTTGAAGAGCTCCATCCACAGAGTCAGGCAACTCAGCCCCTTCCCTTGCACCCATGTTTTAGGGGACAAGTGTTCCTGTCCATACCCTGTGCATTCCCTAGCCCTCCACATGCACCCTTCCTTCCATAATGAAGAGTTTCCAGGTTAGGGTCCCTTCTAAATCATAGTCCAGTACCCAACAGGATTCCTTATGCAATTAGTCCTCACTCTGCTTCCACAAGCTTTCACCAGTGGTGGTGGGAACCTTTTTGCTGCCAAGGGTCATTTGGATATTTAAATTGAATTTCGTGTTCTGCCCATGGTTGCCTTGGCAAGGCCAGACCAGGTGATTTCCCAGGGCCTTATACTGCCCCAGTGACCAGTTGGGGCAGCACTTTGGGGTGGGTGAGCAGAGGTTGGTGCTTGTGCAGGTGTGTTTATGAGAGGATCCCTTGCATGCCATTGCATATATATGCATGAACTCTTGCAGAGTTCCCAAAACCTAGGTGGGAAGAAGAGAGGGACTGGGTTTATGATCGCCCTTTGCATGTTTGCCTCTCCCAACTCTCTTCCCTCTCCAAAAATAGAAGGGGCTAGCCTGACTTTCAAGGTCTTCTGTGTGAGGGCCTCAACCTACTATTCCAGTTTGATCTTCTTTGACACTCTTCACTTTCTCCCAACAAATTATGATTTCCCCAAGTAATCTAGGCATTTTTTTAAAAAGCCTTCTATATGATGTTTCTCAAATCCTTCTTTTCTCCATCTGATAAAATTTGACTAGTTCTTTAAGATCCAGCTTGTATATCAACTAATATGTTAGTCATCCCTGGGAATCTTATCCCCAGTCCCAATACTAACTCTCAGGTAGATTTGTGTGTGTGTGTGTGTGTGTGAGAGAGAGAGAGAGAGAGAGAGAGAGAGAGAGAGAGAGAGAGAGAGGATCCTCTGTGACTTGACAACATCCTTCATAATATTTCATAGTTTTTATTGCTTTTTTTTTTTTTGCCTCTAGACTAGACTGTTGGGGGAGAAGTGCATACTAGGGCAGGAAACATGCTTCTTCCTTTATGCTTTTTTTTTTTTTTTTTTTTGACAGGCAGAGTTAGACAGTGAGAGAGACAGAGAGATAGAGAGAAAGGTCTTCCTTCCGTTGTTTCACTCCCCAAATGGCCACTACAGCCAGCGCTGCGCCGAAGCCAGGAGCCAGGTGCGTCCTCCTGGTCTCCCATGCGGGTGCAGGGGCCCAAGCCCTTGGGCCATCCTCCACTGCCCTCCCGGGCCACAGCAGAGAGCTGGACTGGAAGAGGCTCAACTGGGACTAGAACCCAGCCAAGTGAGCCATGGCGTTGGCCCCACTTTATGCTTTTTTTTTTTTTTTTTTTTTTTTTTTTTTTTTTTGACAGGCAGAGTTAGACAGTGAGAGAGAGAGAAAGAAAGGTCTTCCTTTTCCATTGGTTCACCCCCCAAATGGCCACTACCGCCAGCACGCTGTGGCCGGTGTGCTGTGCTGATCTGAAGCCAGGAGCCAGGTGCTTCCTTCTGGTCTCCCATGCGGGTGCAGGCCCCAAGCACTTGGGCCATCCTCCACTGCACTCCTGGGCCACAGCAGAGAGCTGGACTGGAAGAGACCGGAACAGATTCTGGCGCCCCCATCGGGACTAGAACCCGGGGTGCCAGTGCCGCAGGCAGAGGATTAGCCAAGTGAGTCTCAGCGACAGCCCCTTTATGCTTATTCTTAGCATCTACCCCAGTGCCTGGCGTTCAGTAGTGATAATTATCCTTCAGTGTGATATAGTCATCAAAATTCCAGCTCACCTAATAGCCAAGTGGTCTTAAATGAATTACTGAAATAGTTTCACCTTCTTTGAAATAAGAATGGATGTAATTACCTTCTTAAATAGCCCTAAAGATTAAATAAAAATAACTCACCTAAATTTCTCCAGTACAGGGACAAGTGGTATGGGTTCCACAAAGAATAACCATGATTAACTTCTATATTCTGATTCTTGGTAAGCTGTAGAAGGAAGTAAGTGGGCCTTTTAAACCAGCAATATGGGTGCTATTTTGATAAGAAAAATTTGTACTTAACAGTATCATTTTAATAGAAATATGAGAAAATAGTTTTAAAACATGCTTGAACTGAGGTAACATTTGCTTGGAAATGGTTTATTAAAAAGGCACTAACTTTTAGTAAATCCAATTTGTTATATTAGTCTTGATACTCTTGTCATCAGATGGGTGAGAAAAATACTACATCTATTTTGAGAGACACTCATATGTTTATATATCAATAACTAAATACAGAGAAATAGGGAAACAAAAAGTGTCTATCTTTAAGAACTTTAATAAATAATATATAATAACTATTGCTTTTATAACTTCCTATAAAAATGCTCTTAAGCATAAGCAAATGAGGGTCTTCAAAAAGTTCATGAAAAGTTTATATTGTTAAGAAAACTATTTCAAAAAATTTTTGCATCAAAATAAACATGTTTTGAAATTCCATTTTTTTATCACTTCTCAACGTTTTGGCTAAGATCAAGCATAAATTCCATTTTCTGTGACCTTTGTGAAGTACCTTCAGACATGTTCAACTTAGACTTTTTAAGCAAAAAGTTTTACATGAAAATATGGTAATAAAACCAATCAATATGAATTATTATATGAAATGCACCCGGTTTGCTATGACTTGTTACTCCACATTGGAACCTTTGGTCTAGCACTATATTGTTCAGTATTAAATGAAACTACTGACATTTGCATTACTGTGCATCTAAATCTTGTCTTTATGGAGAAAACCAGGGAAATGGAATGTGATCTAAGCCTGCAGAAAAAATAAACATTGGTTGATTTGCTTGAATTTTACTATTCATACAGAATGATTATAACAAAGTCGGCCTACTTTAGTAAAAAACTTAATGATCTTAATTTTGTTCTTCAAGATAATGCAAAATAAAATTACTCTTTTTTTTTTCCTGTGAAGCATCCATTCTATTATTATGCTGTTATCTGCTTGCTTACAATCTTAACTGTGGAAGACTATTGCCTCACTCATCTAAGAAGATTAATTGTGCTAACTTTTCCACCATGTCCTATCTCGTTGCACATTTTAGACTCCGTATAATCATAGACAATGATAATTTAAAATCTTAGGCTGTACCAAGATCTCTGAGGTTGAGAATGAATAAGTAATAGGGTGGATGAGATGCTGATAAGAAATTTAAGATTTCAAAGGCACAGAAGGAAATCTTGTATATTCTAGATAGTAGAACAGAACATTGTTAGCTTTACAATAGCAACAACAACATCATAGTAAAGAAGCTTTTCTTTGAGTTGCCTTTTGTGCTTAAAAGTATAACAAATGGCATATCATATATACTCTTTTCATAAGACTAAGGCACACATATCTGAATTCTCAATCGGAGGCTAGAGAAAGCAGAAGCTTCCTCATGGAGAGAGATGACGGAGTTTGGCATTGAGTTCTCTCTCCTTGCTTAAAAGATCCAAGCTGTGCTTTTTGAAGGCTTCTGACTGCAGCCTGAGTTCTTCATAGGCCTTCTGGATCCCTTCCACCCGGCGCTGAAGTTCCCGGACTCTCAAATTGCTGTTCACCGCCACTGCCTCCTGCTCAAACCGCTCCAGCGCATGCCTCCTGGCCACATCGGCAGTCTCCAACCTCTCCTCAAGCAGGCGAATCTCCGCCTGCTTGTTCTGAAGCACTTTGCCTCTCTCCATGGACAGCTGCAGCAGCTCCTCCTTCTCGCTAGCCGTGGTCTGCAGCCTGGCCTGCAGCTCCTGGCTCAGGATGCTGTGCTTCTCCTCGGCCTTGGCCATCTGCTCCAAGGCCTGCTGGTGCTGCTGCTTGAGGCTTCGCAGCTCACTGCGCAGCTGCTCTGTCTCCTTGGCATGGGCGCGCGCCTGCTGGCTCTGTAGCTCCAGCAGCTCCTTCTCCCGGGCCTGTGCCTGACGGGCATCCTGAACACACCTCTGTTTCAGAGACTCCACCTGCTTGGTGAGATCCGTGCTCTGGGCCGTGAGCTGCAACACTTTGGCCTCCTTGTCCCTCAGAGCCTGGCTGAAGAGGCTGCTGTTCTCCAGCCTCAGTTTCTCGTTCTCCTCTTTGAGCTTGATGTTCTGATTCTTGTGCTCATCCTTGAAGCGGATCATCATCTCGTGGTTGGTCGCCAGGGTCATAAAGCGCTCCTCCAGCTTCCGGGCGTGCTGGCGCTGAGCCTTCAGCTTCTCCGCCTCCTGCTCCCTCTCCTCCTCCAGCTCCTTGTTGAGCAGCTCCAGGATCTGACAGCGCTCCAGGGCCTTATCCGACCTCCGCTTCAGGATGCAGATGAGCTGGGACTGCTCCTGAATGCGGGAGCAAAGCATCGCCTTCTCGCTCTTCTCCTCCTCGGACAGGTCCCGGAGATTCGCCAAGGCTTCCCTCAGACCGTCCAGTTCCTTAAAATCCATCTCGTCTTCCTGGTTTCTCAATTTTCCACTTTCCTGATCTAAGAGCTCTTCGGGGGGTGGGGTGTCCATCCTGAGAGCCTGCTCTTCCTGTGGCATAGGCGCCCTCCTCCACACCCACAGCTGCCCACACAGTCTTTCCCCCACGGATTTCAAAACCCGCTGGGGGTTGCTAAGGACTCTCCAGCCGTTGGTTTTTCCAGTAAGGAGCCCTGTGATTGGTACACAGGCCTTCAGACTGTTGTGAAGTAACAGGGGAATTTGAGAGCCAATCTACTCAGGTTACACTTGCCTTTTTAACCAATGACAGCTTCCAGCTCATAGCCCAGTCTGGCGTGAATGGCACAGACGCGAACCCCACTCAATTTTCAACCAGCATCACGGAGAAACCTGACTCCATCTATTTCTGAAAGAAGTAAACAAATCAAGCGGGCCGTGACAAATTCCTGCTCATTCTCCCACTTTGTCACGAGGATAAGTGCTGTCTGTGGAAACAAATATGTGTACTCTATGAATACAAAGTAGCACAGGTGCTCTGAGGGCCAGGACCCTAAACACTGCCAGCCTGCACCTGTAGTGTTTGGCACAGCTCTGTCCTGATATTTAAGCATAAAAACAGCAAACCTCGGGACTGACGCTGTGGTGTAGTAGGCTGAGCCTCAACCAGAATCCCATATGGTCACCAGTTCAAGTCCTGATTGCTCCACTTCTGATCCAGCTCTCTGGTTTGGCCTGGGAAAGCAGTAGAAGATGGCCCAAGTGCTTGGACCCTTGAACCCACGTGGGAGGCCTGGAAGAAGCTCTTGGCTCCTGGCTTTTGATGGGCTCAGCTCCGGCTGTTGCAGCCATTTGGGGAGTGAGCCAGCAGATAGAAGACCTTTGTCTCTTCCTCTCTGCCAGCCTGCAACTCTACCTCTCAAATAAATAAAATCTTAAAACACACACACACACAAACACACACACATACCTCAATTAATTTTGTTTCCTTTAGCATTGATTGTCCCCATCTGGAAATAGATACTCTTTATTTGATAGTCAGCACTTCTATATTTTAGTCTTTAATAAAATAGAAAGAAGTTGAACAATATATATAAGATAAACATTAAAGTGAAGAAAAAGGTTCAGATAAGACCTCCAATCACATACCACAGTCAGTTCCACATGGATTACTTAAATGTAAAATAAAACACAATTGAAGTTTTAAAATAAAAAACTAGAAGAAAAGGAAGGAAGCATTGAATCTCTGAGCCAGGATGGCCCTGCTTAGCTTAAACCTTTTGTAAGAGATCAGAAAGGGAAAGCTTAACTAGGTTTCATTGAACCTCTAAAGTTATGAATAATTTTTAAAATTATGTGACCTCTGAGGTTTCTCCAGCCTCTCCTTCCCCTGGACTTGCCTGATATTTTGCTCCCTAGCCAAGTGCAACTACTGAAGATTCATTCCACAACCACCTAGGTCTTCGGCCTTGTCTGTGGGTATTCTCTGCCAAGAATACCTTTTCTGGCCTTGTCTCCTGTATCATAAACTGCACATCATCTTCACTCTTGCCATAATGCTAAGGCACACTTACTTGAACTTTCTCAGCTTTTCATACTGAGTTAAGAGTCGTCTCTTTTGTTTTGCACCTGCTCCATGTAGAACTGGCCACTCACCTGTTTTTGGTGCATCCACTACATCCTTCTTGTAGTTCCCATGGAGTAGGTGAAAGCGTTATTGCAATTGTTGTTTACCTGCTTGCTTCTCCCATTAGACTGTGGATCATTAAGGGCAGGGACTGTGTCTGTTTCATCTTTGGTGATTAGCCCAGAGCCTGGCACACTGGAGACACTCAGATAAACACGTGTTGAATAAATGTTGAAGGCAAAAAGCAAATTGAGAGAAATATCCATAATCAATATAATAGACAATATATTTCAACTTTTATAAAGAGCTTGTACATATCAGTAATACATTAACATATGCAAAGAGAAATGAAAATTAAATTCACAGAAAAGGGAACAGAAACAGCCAAGAATTGGACCTCAACAGTGGTCCCGTGAATACTAGTTCAAGTATATATCATTTCATCCATCAAATTAGTAAACAAATTCTTTCACAACTACTCAGAGCTAGTAAAGGCACAGTGAAGCGGCACTGTCTTGTTCTGCTGGTGAGAGTCAGTTGCAGTATGCACAGAAAACTTTAAACATAAACACCTTGTGTATGTTGAGCTAGTAATTGTCCTTGTGGGGAGGTCTGCACCTGCAAACCAATCTGAAAGAAAACATGTTGCTTACAGCTTTTCACCGCAGTATGGGATACAATAACTCAGTTAGAAAGCTAAAAGTCCAACAAGGGGGAAATGTTAAGAAAATTATGGTACATTCATAAAACAGAATATTACATAGCTAGTAGACTTCACCTTGTTTTTTTTTTAAAGATTTATTTATTTATTTGAAAGTCGGAGTTACACACAGAGAGAGAGGCAGAGAGAGAGAGGTCTTTCATCCCCTGGTTCACTCCCCAATTGGTTGCAACAGTCAGAGATGCGCTGATTCAAAGGCAGGAGCCAGCAGTTTCTTCCAGGTTTCCTACACAGGTGCAGGGGCCCAAGGACTTGGGTCATCTTCTTCTGTTTTCCCAGGCCATAGCAGAGAGCTGGATCAGAAGTGGAGCAGCTGGGACTTGAACTGGTGCCCATATGGGATACTGGCACTGCAGGTGGTGGCCTTACCCGCTACACCACAGCACTGGCCCTGATCTTATCTTGTTTATAGGTAACTTTAATGGAATAGAAAATGAATGCTTTTTGTTCAAAAGATAAATGTAGAAATGCAACATACAGAATTAAAACTCAGAATGATTTTAATGTTGTGAAAACTCAAGCATACTGAAAAGAGATGACTGTTCCTGTAATCACTATTGCTGGTGGTCAGATGTAATATCTCCCAAGTTATGAAGATTAGGAAAAAGCCTGGGTGTCATTATCAATATTGGATGAATTTTTAAATGGTTCAGATTTCACTGGGAGCAAAAGAGTTCTGAAAGAAGAATTTTAGATTTTCCCTTTGGTCTCAAAAAAATTATAGGATATTGAAAGCTTGTGAAAATGGGTTTCAAATACTTAAAAATGTGAACTAAACTTATTTGTAGTTTTACCTCATTTCTCTTCTGCACTTTTCCTTAAATTTCAAGCTTCATGTTGAAATGGAAATTGTAAAGTCAAGGCAAGTGAATGATTGGTCCTCTTAACTTAAATAAAAGGTAATACATACAGTGAAAATTTTATTTCTTAACTACCTAATATGGTCTGATGTACTAAATACTTTCTTCGAATAATTTACAGTTTAGTGATTACTTTTTATTTCCCTCTACCATTCTTTTTTTCTTTGTTCAATGATTTTTTTGCCCAGTTATGTTTGATCCTGAAAGCTTCAGTATATACCCTTCCTAGAGATCCAAGACATAAAACAAAGCCAGTGCTCTCCCGAGTGGTGACCAATGAGACCCTCCACTGGCCTTTGATTAGTCTTTCAACATCTCTCTCTTTTAAAGATGAATTTATTTTTTGAAAGTCAAGTTACAGAGACGCAAAGGCAGAGAGAGACAGAAAGGTCTTCCATCTTCTGGTTCACTCCCCAGGTGGCCGCAATGGCCAGAGATGGGCTGATCTGAAGCCAGGAGCTTCTTTCAGGTCTCCCACATGGGTACAGGGGCCCAAGCACTTGAGTCATCTTCTACTGCTTTCCCAGGCCAAACCAGAGAGCTGGATCAGAAATGGAGCAGCTGGGACTTGAACTGGCACTCATGTGGGATGCCAGCACTACAGGCACTGGCTTTACCAGCTATGCCAGAGCACCGGCCCCCATCACTCTCTTTTTTAAAGTTATTATTCACAGAACTCTTCTATATATCCTATAGAGTATGAGCATTTGTTCACCTCTCATTGAATCCTAACAAGATTCTTGAAAGTTAGGCATTATACCCTCTACTATTATTTAATTATTATTTATAATCTACAGGGAACAAAGAAATCAAGGCTCAGAGAAACTAAGCAAATTGCTACTGGCCACCCAAAGAATAAATGTTAAAGCCACCATGCAAATGCAAATTTTTTGTTACCAAAGCCCATGGTCTTATGTTGTATTTCATTTATTCATTTGCTCATTCATTCATTCAGCTCATATGTACTGAGAAACTATTTTGCCAAAGGTTGTAGTATCAGCTCTTAAGGGGATTATGGTTTAGTGATAGAAACAAATGATAAACAACAGCAATTCAGTGTGACAACTACTAAAGGAATCATGAGTGAATTATACATATCACTCCTCTCAAAGAATAAAATGGAAAGAAGTGAGGGGTTGAAGACCAGTCTTAGATGGAAAGGGGAGTATTACACAGGATTATTATTATTATTTTTTTTTTTTGACAGGCAGAGTGGACAGTGAGAGAGAGAGACAGAGAGAAAGGTCTTCCTTTGCCGTTGGTTCACCCTACACAGGATTATTTTGATAGACGCCTAAGTCAATCTTTCCAAGCAAATGGAAATTTTTTGGCTCAAAGAAAGAGCACTGAGGAAGCTCACAGAATTGAAGTAGGAGTGGCAGGAACTAGGTAGGACCTCAAAAACTAAAAGTGTAGATGCAAAACCACCAAGACTCTTTATTACTCTGTCAATTTTTCAATCACAGACAGGTGGCTGTGTGAAATTCTCCAATTACAGTCTGCACCAATGGCGTAAGAGCAGAGTAGTTCAGCTGGACTTACATAGAACTGGAAAATGTGACAGTGCTGTGGTCAAGGAGTAGAAAGGAAAGGAAGAAAAAAGATGTTGAGGACATTGTAAGACAACAGTTGGTTTTATAGGAGAGGGATAATGAGAGGCAATTGTTAAGTTTTGGGGGATTGGAGAACTCAATGAGTTTTAAGAATATGAGTAGATGTTATAGAATAATGAGCTGAAGGCTGGAAACAGAAGATTTTGGTTAGAGTGGGATGTTTCAATCTAGTATTTCAGAGGTAAGATAGTTCCCAGTTATAATGAGGTCGGGGTAGGTGTGGCTGAAAAAAATGGAGAAGGTTAACGGCATTCAAAATGAAGAGGATAAAGAACCGTGAAGCCAGGGTGTTTGGTGAACATTCAAATGCTGTAGATGGGGTTGGCTCTGTGGTGCAGCGGGTTAACGCCTTGGCCTGAAGCGCCAGTATCCCATGTGGGCACCGGTTCGAGACCCGGCTGCTCCTCTTCTGATCCAGCTCTCTGCTATGGCTTGGGAAAGCAGTAGAAGATGACCCAAGTGCTTGGGCCCCTGCACCTGTGTGGAAGACCTGGAAGAAGCTCCTGGCTCCCAGCTTCAGATCGGCGCAGCTCTCCTGCTGTTATGGCCAATTGGAGAGTGAACCATCGGATGGAAGACCTCTCTCTCTCTCTGTCTCTCTGCCTCTCCTCTCTGTGTGTAACTCCGACTTTCAAATAAATGAATAAATCTTTTAAAAAAATGCTGTGGAGCGAGGCTTTTCAATGAATGAGATGAGTTGGGGAGGCTGGTAGATGATCATAAGGAGCAGAGGGGATAATCATAACAGCAAGTCTTTACTGAATGTTAATTGTCAAGCATGAATACTTAATATTGATACTTATTTTTATCTGTAGGGTAGGTATAATTTTCTTTTTTTTTAACTGATAAGAAACAAAAAGAAGTTCAGTAACTTTCCTAAGGTCACACAACTATGAAATAATTCAAATAGGATTCAAATCCAAGCCATTTTGCTCTAGAGGCCACTTAACCACAACACCTTACTCCTTGCCTGATGTAACTGAGTGGCACATATCTCTAGAAACAGAGACACTTATAGGAAGGTAAAGGAGCGATCATTTGAAGTTGCTCTTATCTCCTGACTGGAGTACTGGATATGGGAGATTGGTTGGAGGAAAACCAGTTCTTTTGGAACAAGTCAGCTAGAAAAGCAAAGGAAATGTTCTACAATTGGATTGAGTAGGTGAGGGCATTTGTTTTATGAAACAAACTTGTAAAATCAGTGATCGAGCCTGGGAGGGAGTAGATAAAGAGGAGATGAGAGAGCAATTCCCAAGCACAATAGGAATGAGAGCACAGGAGATGGTGGATATTCAGGGGCTTTTTTAGATGGTGAGTACGGGATGACAGGAATATGCTAAGAAGTATGAGTAAGCACCCTGAAGAACACAGCTTCAGAAGGAACAGGACTCTCTGGAAGAAGTCTCCCAGGATCATTACTGCCAGCTTAGAAGCTGCAGCAGTCATAGTGGATGGAGGAATTTAGGCCTCTCTGGAAAAAATCAGAAGTGACTCAGAAATACAGTTATTTCGGGACCGCTGCTTGCAGTGCCTTCATCCCATATGGCCGCCGATTCAAGTCCCAGCTGCTCTACTTCCGATCCAGCTCTCTGCTATGGTCTGAAAAAGGAGTAGAAGATGGCTCAAGTCCTTGGGCCCCTGCACCTGTGTGGGAGACCCGGAAAAAGCTCCTGGATCCTGGCTTTGGATCAGCTCAGCTCTGGCTGTTGCGGCCAATTGAGGAGTGAACCAGTGGATGGAAGACTTCTCTGTCTCTCCTCTCTCTGTGTAAACTCTGACTTTAAAATAAATAAATACATCTTAAAGAAACACAATTGTTTTTAAAAACAATGAAAATTTGAAACATTTTTACTTGGGAGATATATAAATTGTATGAATGCCCAGCTCTTGATTCCTCCAGTGTCTGTCTGTACAACACCCCATTCTTCTGATACTGGACCATTTCCCCTGACCACAAGGTGGGCCCAATTGCTCAGGCTGCGACAATCGTTAAGTTCTTACTCCACCTACACCTGGCCAGAATGAATGCTCCAGTAGGTGGAGATGTGATGCAAGCCTAATCGGTTTCCTCCAGAGATCTCTGAAGCTGAACGGTAGAAAGACAAGTGCTTTAGCTGGAAGGTTGTGAAGCTGGGGCTGCCTGAGGTCTCATTTCCCTCTCTCAGGAAGAAGACAGACATTGAATTCCTGGTTCCAGCAGGTGCAAGTTCTCAAAGCAATCTAGTTCTAGTACTTCTTTCATTCTGTGGGCTAACCTGGTTTGCTTTCAACAAATCTTTTTGTGACTTATTTCCATTTAGGTTTCTGAAAAAAAAAAAAACAACAAAAAACAGCCACTCTCGTAAAGACCTAAAACATGCAGTTGACAAACATGCCTCCAGTTTGCACTGATGTTCCAGTAGGGTCTTTCCCTGAAAGTCTCACTGGCACAAGAGCCTTTTAACCTGAGTACACTAAAGAATTCAGCTTGCCAACATTTTACAGGGTGTGAAACTAACACTTAGCCTTCCTCTTGCAGCCAGGTGAGATTACATTTACCGTTTGTATTTTGTTTTTCAGCAAGAAATGTGATATGAAGTCCTTCTGGACCTCTGAGGGAATTGGAAGTGCTGTGGACCTGTGCAAAGAGACGGAGACATTTTGTTGTCCAGTCTGGCATTTTGCAGGTGAGGATCTGAGAATGGGAGGAAGCAGGCAATTCTGGTCCTTTACAAGGGATATCAGAACAATTTTTTTTTAAAGATTTGTTTATTTATTTGAAAGGCAGAGTTATAGAGAGGCAGATGGAGAGAGAAAGAAAGAGAGAGAGGGAAAGGCCTCCATCTGCTGGTTCACTCCCCAGATGGCTGCAATGGCCAGAGCTGTGCCAATCCAAAACCAGGAGCCAGGAGCTTCCTCCAGGTCTCCCATGCGGGTGCAGGGGCCCAAGAACTTAGGTCATCTTCCACTGCTTTCCTGAGCCATAGCAGAGAGCTGGCTCAGAAGTGGAGCAGCTGGGACTTGAACCAGTGTTCATATGGGATGCCGGCACTACAGGGAACAGCTTTACCCACTATGCCTCAGCACCAGCCCCAAGAACAATTCTTATTGGTGCTCCAGTGCTGACTACATTCTGGGAAGTGGTTGAACAGATACTGAAAGAAAGGCCAAGAAAGTAGTTTGTACTGTGACATGGCACAAACCAGAACAGAGTACTTCTGCTACTGTGTTCCAGACCAATCTTTGAGGTATACCTCTATTTAGCCCACTTTTCCCTTCTCTAAGGCCAGAGAAGAAAAACACAATAGCACTAGAATAATCCCTCCAATAAAGGACAAAGGGAGATAGTAGGAAAAGGTGTTGTCTCAGATTAGTTGCTCTTACTGGCAAGTGCATTCAAGGTTCTGCTTGGGAAAGAAGCAAGTGCTCTCCAGTTGTTTTCAGTGATAGAACTTGGTGCCTGTTGTAAGGTCCTTCGCTCACCCATCACCCACACTTCCTCAAACCTACATTAAATCAGGGCTTTTGTTATTTTTAAACTTTTGTTTTAATTTTATTTGAAAGGCAGACAGGCATATGGACACATCACTCATCAGCTAATTCACTCCCCCAAATGCCTGCAACAGTCCAGGCTGCAACAGTCCATAGCCTGGAGCCTAGACCAATCTATCTATCTATCTATCTCCCTCCCTCCCCCCCTCTTCCCTCCTTCCCTCCCCTCTCCTCCCTTCCCCTTCCCTTCCCTTCCTTCCTTCTTCCTTTCTTTAAGATTTGTTTATTTCAAAGAGTTGTAGAAAGAGATGGAGAGACAAAGAGAGAGGAAGAGACAAATAGAGATTTTTCATCCACTGGTTCACTCCCCAGATGGCCCAATGGCCAAGGTTCAGTCAGGCCGAATCTAGAAACTTCTTCCAGGTCTCCCATATGGGTGACAGGAGCCCAAGCGCTTCAGCTATCCTCTGCTGCTTTTCCCAGGCCATTAGCAGGGATCTGGTCCAGAAGTGGAGCAGCCAGGGAACAAACTTGCACCTATATAGGATGCCTACATTGCAGGCAGTGGCTTTAATCCAGCATGCCACAACAGTGGCCCCAGGAGCCTATATCTCAATCTGGGTCTTCCACATGGGTAGCAGGGTACCAACTACTTGAGCTATCACCTGCTGCCTTCAAGGGTGTGCATAAGTAGGAAGCTGAAATCAGAAGCAGAATAGAGACTGAAACCCAGACACTCAGATATGGGATCAGGCACCCCAAGTGGCATCTTAACTGCTACACCAAATGCTTGCAGTACTTTAGACAGATAAGCTACTTGGGGCTTCAGAAGGTATAATGCTTCATTTGCTAAATGTATCCCATAGTCTCCATGGAAAACCTTTTAAGAATAAATATTGGGGCGGATATGTCCCAATGATGCTCCTGGGATATCCACATCCATTATCAGGGTATCTGGTTCAGGTCTCAGCTACTCTGCTTCTGACTCACTCTTTGAGGTAGGAGGTGATGGCTCAAGTCCTTTGGTTCTAGTCACCAATGTAGGAGATCCAGATAGAGTTCTGAGTTCTGGCTTCAGATTGACCCAGCCCTTGCAGTTGTGGGCACTGGAGGAATGAACCAGCAGATGGTATGTTTCTTTCTGTCTCTGTCTCCCTTTCAAAGAGAATGGAAATAAAAATAAATTTAAAAAGAATAAATATTAGTTTATCTTCAAGCATTTTGACTGGTTTTTTAAAAATAAAAGTTCTATTCTTAGTAATATAGCCTTGGCTGCTCACTTAGGGGAACTGATGCCTAGAATGTTGGTAAAGACAGGAAAAATATTAGCCAAACAGAAGTTCATTAGCTTTGTTAGAAAATTTAGAATTTAGGATTCCTAGTATAAAAAATTTAACTAAAATAAAAATCAATACAATTTAAATCATATGATAATTTATTTGACTAAAGAGTTTTATAAAATACTTTATGAAAATTATACATACATAGGAAGTACAGTATAATTGAACAATTTACAGTCTAATTAAAACTTTGTTGCAAAGCACATCTATGGCTATTATTATGCTGCTTGCATACAGTAAAATGATAGGAAAAATAATCATATTCTCAAGGGTTTGTTTGTTTACAATCTCTCACAAAATACAGGCTTGAGGCCTGTGTTGGGTTACAAATAAGCTAAAACAAGCCAAGAACCAAATTCTGCTTATGGCCAGTTGGTGGCACCAAAGTACATTTGAAACTTCTTTTGTTTCAACTTGGGGGGGGGAAAGAAAAGTAGTTTTTCAATGCAGAAATACACCCCGTAAATTCAGTCTCATTGTCCAAACATGGAACTCTACATTTTATTAGAGATTACAGATTAAGTCATTTTCTTATGGTACGAATCTGTCTCATCACTGATGATTCTTCCCCCCTCTCCAGAAGTACCTTTCTGTTACTTTTCTACAACCTACATATTTACAAGTCCCACAAGGATTAGCAATAATCAAGTGGCAGGTCTTTTTTACTGTAGCACAAGACTGTGGTGTGAAACCCACGGTGATAAACTAAAACATTTTTCTAGTTAAAAACATTCCAAATGTAGTATTTTAGGAGCAGCTTTTTCTTCGAAGCAATAAACCATTTTCTTTGACTTGTTCAAATGTCTTCTTTGAATGTTGGAATAACAGGTAAGTCACAATTTTGTCATAATTTAAATCCCTTGGGTCTTGTAATCAAAGACACACATGCGCATTGACTTTAACATGCTGTGTAGTATTGTTAGTGGCAGCGAAGATTTTTGTCCATGTGGTCAGATTTTCAAGATGAGATTCTCCTGTTCAGTAGTTTTCAGAGGAGGATCCACTGGACGCTGGGCTCATTTGGAAATCTTGGCAATCAAAAGCATTCTGAGAGGCAGTGTTGCTTCAATCCAAGTGTTGGGGCAATTTACCATCTTTTCCCAGAGAGCAACTTCCTCTGATGTAGAGTCCATCCAATCTACTTCAGTCCCATAGCTTTTACCTGAAAAAAGGAATTTGCACTTAGAAAGGGAACGGCTTCGATGGGGAGGGAATATAATTTCCTAATTATAATAACCAATGGAAGGCAGCTAGGAAGAGTCTGAACATCACTGATAGGGCGAGCCTGGTACTTAAATCAGGAAGAACTGTTTATTCATCTGTGGCTTTATCATGGACATCGTTCCGATAATTCCCAGAACAATGGTTTCTTTCCACATCATTGTAAAAGCTGTATGCCATTTAGGGCTATGCGATAGTTGGGAGGCTTCTGCATTGGATTGGAGGCAGCATTAGATGATTTCTAAGGGAGTACGGGTGCACCGCGCTGATCTGAAGCCAGGAGCCAGGTGCCTCTCCTGGTCTCCCATGTGGGTGCAGGGCCCATGGACCTGGGCCATCCTCTACTGCACTCCTGGGCCGCAGCAGAGAGCTGGACTGGAAGAGGAGCAACAGGGACAGAATCTGGTACCCCGACTGGGACTAGAACCCCGGGGTGCCAGCACCGCAGGTGGAAGACTAGCCTATTGAGCTGCGGCGCCAGCCAGGCTCAGTTTCAAATATAAACCCTGTTTTTTAGTGATTCTGTTACTTAATTTCTTAGAGTATCAGTTTCTTTGAGGACAACGTTAGCAACTCCTTAAGAGTTTTGAGCATTACATGAAATAATGCAAATAAGGCAATTACTACAATGACTAGTGCTGTACAAATGCTGGCTACTATTATTCAAGGCACACATTTTACCTTGAAGGAATATAGATGTTTGAGTTGGGGGGAGTAGTGATGAAGGCTTTTTTTTTTTCTAATTATTTATCTATTTAAAAGGCAGAGTTAGAGAGGGAGAGACAGACAGACAGACACACAGAGAGAAAGAGATCTTCTATCCACTGGTTCATTCCCCACGTGGCCACAACAGCTGGAGCTGGGCCAGTCCAAAGCCAGGAGCCAGGAGCTTCTTCCAGGTCTCCCATGTGGGTGAAGGAGTCCAAGTACTTTAAACATCTTCTGCTGCTTTCCCAGGCACAGTGGCAGGGAGCTGGATTGGAAGTGAAACAGCCGGGACTTGAACCAGTGCCCTTATGCAGTGCTGGCACTGAAGGCAGTGATTTTACCTGCTACACCACAGTGTTAGCCCCAAAGGCTTTTCTTTTTGTGCTGACCATTCACAATAACTGAAGCTCTATATGGACAGATAGTGCACCCTACTAATCCTCATGCCTAGATCCCTGGGCATATAGCCTGACTTTCTTTCCTTCTTTCCTTCTTTCCTTCTTTCCTTCTTTCCTTCTTTCCTTCTTTCCTTCTTTCCTTCTTTCCTTCTTTCCTTCTTTCCTTCTTTCCTTCTTTCCTTCTTTCCTTCTTTCCTTCTTTCCTTCCTTCCTTCCTTCCTTCCTTCCTTCCTTCCTTCCTTCCTTCCTTCCTTCCTTCCTTCCTTCCTTTTTTTTTGACAGGCAGAGTGGATTGAGAGAGAGAGACAGAGAGAAAAGTCTTCCTTTTTTTGCCATTGGTTCACCCTCCAATGGCTGTCACGGCTGGCGCACCACAGCTGGCGCGCTGCGGCCGGCGCACCGTGCTGATCCGAAGGCAGGAGCCAGGTGTTTCTCCTGGTCTCCCATGGGGTGCAGGGCCCAAGCACTTGGGCCATCCTCCACTGCCTTCCCGGGCCACAGCAGAGAGCTGGCCTGGAAGAGGGGCAACTGGGAAAGAATCCGGCACCCCGACCGGGACTAGAACCCGGTGTGCCGGCGCCGCTAGGTGGAGGATTAGCCTATTGAGCCACGGCGCCGGCCATCATTTCATTACACTTAACAGAAGTAGAGTATCTATTTTCATTAGCAAGAAGCAAAGCAACAAACAAACCAGTCTTTAGAAGAATTTGGCTCATGGAGGATTCAAAGCCCAACAAATGTTACCTGTTCCAAAGCCAATCCGAAGACCTCCCAGAAACTGGTTGGTTAATTTATAATGGTCCCAGACAGTGAGCTCTACACAGGCTTCCGTCAGATCTTCAGGTCTGAACCCATCATACACCATGGTATGGTTGAAAATAGGGTTGGTGGTTTTTCCTACAGCTCTTGTTTTCTGGCGACTTTTCCTGCTTGTATCTGGAAGGATGGTACTATAAACAGAGGCATTATTGTGAACGTATTATAGTAAGAGAGTGAACATTTATGCTTTCAATATACTTCAGCACAGCTACTACATATTAGCAGTGGAGGGGAAAAGTGCGGGAAGTTGGAGATGGTGGTGGTGGTGGTGTGGAGTGGGGGGTGTGGGTGGGGGAAGCACATCCTGCTAGAAGGACTTCGGACATAGAGTCAGCCAGATTAGTTCGAATCCTGACTCTGCCATGCACTGGCTGGACATTCTCAGGAAAGTTACTTAACCTCTCAGATACCTGTTTTCTCATCTATAAAATGGGAATGGTGATGCTTGATGTCATAAGGTTGATTTATAATGAAATACAAAACGCTAGTTCAGTATCTACATTTAGTAAGTTCTTAATATGATAGCAATTGTTTGAGGACTTCTTTAGCATTTAGCATTTAGAAGCATAGTCTATTCCTGAGTACTTAAGGTATTACCTAAGGAATTAGAGCAATACATATTTTAAAACAGGAAAGGAATCCCTCCAATTAGCTAGATTTGACTTTAAGAATAAATCACACATTTTTCACAATCATGTATGTTTCATTTATTTTATATATATAATATATAGCTATCTATAATTTATATAACATATAAATTATATATATTTATATATTTATATTATATATTTTTATTATATATAATATATATAATTTATATAATAAAAAATCTTCCATCTACTGGTTGATTCCCTAAATGGCCACAATGGCCAGGACTAGGCCAGGTCAAAGCCAGGAGCCAGGAGCCTCATCCAGGTCTCCCACATGTGTGTAGGGCCCCAAGCACCTGGACCATCCTCCATTTTCTTCCTAGGTAATTGGTAGGGAATTGGATTGGAAGTGTAGCAGCCAGGACTCAAACTAGCACCCATATGGGATGCCAGCCCTGCAGATTACAGTATAACCTACTGCACCACAGTGTCAGCCCCCACTTATGATAATTATTGAATAAACTTTAACCTATCACATCTCTTGTCAAGCCAAGGTCTGAGAGTCATCTTGGAATAAGAGACCAATTTGAACTTAAAAATATTACCAGTTGACATCTATGAAGAGTATGTATAGGAAAAATCATAAATGATGTCATATATACTTAAATATAGGTCACATATTTTTAAAAAGCTACAACAGTCTTCTGGTAGAACCTATTTAGTTAAAATTAGCCATAGAGACCATAACTATCTTAAGCTCTTATAAGCTAACTCTTAGTAAGCGTTTGTTTAGCAAGTCATTTTTTAAATATCTGCAGTGTGAGACGAAGGACCTCTAAAAGTGGGCCACAAAATAAGTGAGATAAAGGAGAGAAGGAATTTATCTGTGTTCTACAAAGGAGCCTACCATTAGAAATTAGACAAATTCTTTTTTTAAAAAAGAATTACTTAAATTTTTTAAAATTTATACTTGAAAAGCAGAAAGAGAGTAAGATCCCATGTGCTGGTTCACTTCAGGCTGAAGCCAGGGACCTCAGTCTAGGTCTCCCATATGGGTGGTAAGGACCTAAGTACTTGAGCCATCACCTGCTGCCTCCCAATACGTGCACTAGCAGGAATCTACAATCAGAAACAGAGCCAGGATTTAAATCCAAATACTCTGTCATGGGATGTGGGTGTTCCAAGTGGTGTCTTTTTTTTTTTTTTTTTTTTTTTTTTGACAGGCAGAGTGGACAGTGAGAGAGAGAGACAGAGAGAAAGGTCTTCCTTTTTGCCGTTGGTTCACCCCCCAATGGCTGCCGCATCATGCTGATCCGAAGCCAGGAGTCAGGTGCTTCTCCTGGTCTTCCATGCGGGTGCAGGGCCCAAGCACTTGGGCCATCCTCCACTGCACTCCCTGGCCACAGCAGAGAGCTGGCCTGGAAGAGGGGCAACCTGGACAGAATCCAGCGCCCCGACCGGGACTAGAACCCGGTGTGCCGGCGCCGCAAAGTGGAGGATTAGCCTAGTGAGCCAAGTGTTGTCTTAACTGATGCACCAAATGCCTGCCCTCAATAAACTCTTTCATACTCATTATTTCCCTCAGTAACAGACATAGCTCCTAGAAGACATTATTTGAGTGTGAGGTCTCTAGTTTGATTTGTATATATGACCTCTTAGCTTTATGATTTTAAGAATAAATGAAACCTTGTGAGTTCATCTATAGACTCTTGTGATTCATGTCTCCATTGTTTCGAGTAAATTCATTTAAGCTATGACTGATGGGTTTCAGCATCAGAGAGAGAGCTGAAACCAACCAACAAAGTCCAGGCTATAGCAGCACTGAAAAAAGCAGTCATCAATGCTGTTACCATTTAACAAAAGAATTCAGATGGTTTCCCCTTAGCAGTGGTAGATCAAGGCATTCCTTCACCCAGATGTGTACTTCTCCAGTTGTAGGAAGCTTTTTACCTGTAATAAGAGAAAAATTTTACTGCTCTTCTTTTTTGGAAATACTGTATCCAAAGGAGTTAGCCCAAAAATGGTCTGGCACAGGGGTACTGGCTAGTGTTTGGTGGTATAATTCTATAAATTCTTAACTATGTCTTTCCTGGTTTGACTGAATTGAGCTTGAGTAGCTCTATAAAAACAACACATATTATACATCCAAGTACAGAGTATTACATTCTTTTGGGGGTTTGCTTGGTTCAACATGAACAGATGTCAGGCATGTGAATCATCCATTTACAGTAGTATTCAAAACATCTCAATGAAATGCATATGTCTTTCAAACACGAATAGCAATATAAAGTGGTGCTGGTAGAAGGCATTTTAAACATAATTTTAGTATAAAGTAAACTAAAGGGGATGGAGTCTCTGAGCGGGGAATGAATTAGGCAGATGTACCCTAGCAGGCCAGACCTTCGAGATGAGCCCCTGGAAAATCCAGATGCTGAATGGTTTACTGATGGCAGCAGCTACCTGAAGGAAGGAGTTAGAAAGGCAGACGATAGAAGCCCAAGCACTAACACACAACACTTTAGCCCAAAAGACAGAGCTTATTGCATTGACTAGGGCTTTACAACTGGGAAAAGGCCAGTGAGTTTATATATATATATATATGCAGATAGATAGATAGATAGATAGATTCCAGATATGCTTGCCTTGTGTTGCATGCACACGCAGCAATCTGGAAAGAGAGGGGCTTAGTGACTGCAAAGAGTTACCCTGTTAAATAGGAAAAGAGATACTGGCTTTACTTCAGGCAGTACTGGAGCCTTTAGAAGTGGCCGTCATCCGCTGCAAGGGATATCAGAAGGGAGATAATTATATTAACAAGGGAAATGCATTAGCAGTTAGAGCAGCTACACAGGAAAGTTTGGAAATGGCCCTCATACGTCAATCTGTGGAAGTATCTAAGGAATCTCACTATACGGAGCCTGAAAATTAATGGGCTCAACAGCGAGGCTATACTAAAAAGCAAATGGGTAGTGGATGCTAAATCACAGAATTAGGCTACCAATGGCCACTTAATGGAAAATTACACAGCTCTACCCACTTGGGAAGAGATGCCTTAGCACAACTGGTCTCCCGAGCTTTTGGAGGAAAGGGACCAAATATGGTCATAAAGGAAATGACTCGCTCTTGGCCTCTATGTTTACAGAATAACCCTCACCACGTAAGGTCACCTCCCCTGTTGACTCCTGTGCAAAGGAGGGGAACATAAATAGCTGAAGATTGGCAGGTTGATTTTACCAATATGCTCCCTACAAGTAATTATAGGTACCTTCTAGTCTTTATTGACACTTTTACAGGATGGATAGAAGCCTTTTCGACCCAAACGGAGAAAGCACACGAGGTGCTTAAAGCCTTGTTGAAAGACATCGTGCCACACTTTGGACTCCCACGGTCACTCCAGAGTGACAATGGACCTTCATTTATATCTAAAATAACCCAGTAGAACCCAGCAGCTCCTGAGAAAAATGATGACCATGCAGGAGACACTGAGAATGCTGGTGACTGAAAGAGCTCTGGCTCATGAAGTGAACTCATTACATGAAATAGGCAGAGACTTCCAGACCCTGGATAGGCAGGGTCTGCGCCCCTAATCAGCAGGAAGTAGCTACAGAAGATGGAGACTTGACGCCCATCAACATCCCCTTAAGATTAAGGTCTGGAGTCTCTGAGGGGGGAATGAAGTAGACAGACATACAGGTTAAAATTGATCAGATTTGTGAACTGGAAGACCACGCCCCTGTGTGACCTCATGCTCCTACCTGATGCCTTTGCCAGGCCCCTGTGTGGCCTCATTCCCCTACCTGGCCACACCTGGGTACCCACCAGCCAATCAGGTTAATTAACCACTCCCCTTTGGAGTGGGTTAAAAGCCTAGGGCACAGTGTGCCCAGGCCTGCTCCTCTTCCCTGGCCTCTTGCCAGGACAGGGCTTGCTGTAGCCCTGAGCCTCCAGGGCGCATGGCCTTCGGGCCATGTGCTCTAGGCTTCCTGGCCTAGATGCTCATCCACATGGCTGGTTCCTGGTGCTTGGTATGAACCCCTATTCACCTCTCTCCCCTAAATAAAGCTCTCACTCTCTTATGCACCTTTCTTACTAAATAAAAGCTTAAAACGTACCAAGCTGCCTCGTTTACCTGTGCCAGTATTTAGAATTCTTCTCTAAATACTAGGCAAGAACCCTCTCGGGCTTATTAATATCGGGGATTTGGTAATAAGCCTGTGGTGAAATCGCAAGGCACCCCAAATTCCGGTAGCACATGTGGCACCCGGGTAGCATTTTTAGGGAACTTTAAGGGGCCACAATTTAGTGTAAATTTTAGGGGGTCTTGTCCGATTTCACCCTCTTCTTATTTAAAGTGGCTACACATTTTGTAGGAATATTGAATATACATACCTAATAGTTAATACTGTGGACAGGGAACTACTAAGAAACTGGCTTAGTCTGAAGTGGTTCTCTTGGTTGGGTGTATATGGACAAAGGAATGTCACCCAGATTTTTCTGGTTGGGTTAGCCCAATCAGTCAACCAAATGATATTTAATTAGCATATATTATATACTCATTCTGTGCTAGAAATTCATTTGATACCAAAGGAATGCAAGAAATAATCTATGCCCTTTTGGGAAATATTTATAGTTAAAATCATAAATATTTGTAGTTAAAACCATAAAAATGTAAAATTGAGTGAAATGTCAAGTATTACTGCAGTATTCTGGAAGATGATATAATCAGTGAAGGTTAATAAAATCAGGAAAGTTTCATGGAGGAGATGAATTCATCTAAAACTTGCATAGGTTGAGGGGAAAAGAAAGCCATTCTAGGGTAGAAACACCACATGAGCAGAAACTCAGACAAGGTGGAACCCATCACAACATGGGCTCCCAACCCCACCACCATCTTAACACCAAAAGATAGTGGGGAAAATGGGAACTGGAGTTGGCAGAACGGCTGTATGTTGGCCATAAATGATAGGATACAAATTATTTGCAAAGTAGTCTGCCTTTTAGGAAGACCTAGCAGTCAAAAGATGGCAGCAATTTGGTATCAAGATATGCTTTGCTTGTCCTCTGATTTTTTTTAAAAATTAAATTAGAATGCCTATCTCTAGTTCAGTCACCGCCCTTATCATGTATCATTTCTTCCATCTCACCTAGTTTCACTGCCTATTTACTAAAACTATTTGAGTTGGCAACTCTGATTTCAGCCATAATGTTCATACAGATCTTTAGGAGAATAATCTGGGGAACTTGCTTGAGAAACGGGGGTGAGAGGTGACGGGCATTAATTCTCTGATTCCTTAACTGGGCTGAAGAAGGTCTGATGCCAAGGATGCACTTAGTAATCTTAACAAAAAGTGCTATCTCCAGATGAGACACTGAGAGAAGATCAGTGAGCTCTAACTTCTTAGGGACTATTAATATGCTCAAATTGTGATTATAAGGAAGGCTATTTACACTGTGCAGATCCAGAATTTGTGGAGAATGAGGTGAAAATGAAACCAGGCTTATAAACAAGAGAGGGGGAGAGGAGGGAGGGAGGGAGGGAGAGAGAGAGAGAGAGAAAGAAACTTCTCTTATAGAATGGTGGTTACCAGGAACTGGGGGAAGGAAAAGGAAGAGTTGTTGTTTAATGAGTAGAGAGTTTCAGATTTTCAAGATTAAAAACTTGTAGGGATCCATTTCACAACAATGTGAAAATACTTAACACTACTACACTTATTAAGGTACTTAAAAAATTTATGTATTTTTTACCAAAGTAAAAAAATGAATTTTCTAGTTTACAACTATGAATAGATTTGTTGGGTCTACACAATTACCAACTTAAGTTTGTTTAGGACTTCACCTCTGAAAATATTATAGAACCCAAAATAAATCCTTGGAGAGAAGAGGGGTAAGGAAAGGCATGGGTCTGGATGGAGAATCATTACATACCGGGGATTGGCTCAGGAACATACTGGAGGGCTAGCTTCATCTCACCTCTGTTTTCTGTTTCAAGGGCAATGGGTGCAGTCTGAAAAATGAAAGGATGTCATCAGGAGTGAGACACACTTGTTTTCCTGCTTGGTGTTCTGTTAAGGATCACATCTGTCCCTTTTTTGAGACTACGTCATTCATGAGTGCCCGGATTAAAATCTCCCTCTGATCAGGTTTAGACAGTTTTTTTATATCCAGAAAAGCTATGCTGTATGCCTTGGAAAACCTTGCAAAATATCCAGAAATCATTCAAGGTCTTTAGTATCAAAGATGGTGGAGAAATCAGAATTGCTTTCTTAGATTGAAAGAAGTATTCTGGGATGCTTTAATTTTTATGTCTGTTACTCATCCTAACCGGCACATTAAACAATTTATTTTTATTCTCTATCTTTGAAAGAGTATGGGAAATAATGTGGGAAGAGAAGCAAAAAAGAAAAAGTCAAAGCTTACATTTTCAAAGCTGCCATTAACCTGATTATTTTAGAGCAAATTCATACAACTCTGTAAGAGTAACAATGACTGCTCACAATTTTAAAATGTATATCTGTTATGTTCACTTATAAAAGAGATGATTTTATTTTCATATTCTAGTTCTTTAGAGCCTTATTTCCTTTTTAAATATTCATTTATTTGACTGGCAAAGTGACAGAGAGAGAAGGACCAAAAGATCTTTCATCCACTGGTTCACTTCCTAAATGCCTACCACAGCTGGGGCTGGGCCAGGCCAAAGTTAGAAGCCAGGAACCCCAAATGGGTCTCTCATCATCTGCTGCCGCCCAGGCACATTAGCAGGAAGCTGGATTAGAAGCTCTGAGTAGCCAGAACTTCAACCAGACACTTCACAAGGAACGTGGGAGTCCCAGCTGGTGGCTTAACCTACTGTACCACAGTACTCATCCTCCTAGAGTCTTATTTCTTAAACATGGGCACACACCAGAAATACACTGGGAGCCAGTTAAAAAACAAGGTGCTTTGGACATCTTCGGAGGAATTCAAATCCAGTAGGTTTTAGACAGGGTTAGAAACCACTGTTTTGAGTTATCTTGATGCAACACTTGAGGATTAATTCTCTAGTAGAACTGTTTAATTGTGTGGATATTAAATAACGGTTTGTATTGTTTGTATTTAGCACTTCCAGCTATGATGGACTAGCTTGAGCCACATTAATCCTCACACTGAAAACAACAACAAAACAAATTGAAACAAACTCAGCTGGAAGGTGCTAAAATTTATAAAGACAATTATAAAAGTTTATAAAAATTACAAAGATTCAAGTGAACAAGATCTTAGAGCCTGATATTCCTCTGTGCTTTTTATTTTGAGGCAGTAGCTGCTTTTTAAATAGGGACAAACTGACAGCATAAAAAGCCTGGCAGAATGATAGTGGTAAGCTAAGCAGGGCTTTTAGCAATCTCATGAGGCTGGGAGGCAAAAATTAGTCCATGGCCAGCCAAAGAGCAATAACACTGGAAAAATACCCTAGGCCTGTGACTCTCAAGATACAGTCCCCAGGAGCCAGTGCCATGGCACAGAGGATTGAGCTACCGCCTACAGCACTGATACCCTATATGAGCGCTGGTTTGAGTCCCAGCTGCTCCACTTCTGATCCACCTCCTTGCTAATGTACCTTGGAAAGCAATGGAAGATGGCACAAGTACTTGGGTTGAGGCCACCCACATGGGAGATCCAGACAGAGTTCCAGGCTCCTGGCTTCAGTCTGGCCCAGCCTGGATCACTGTAGCCATTTGGGGAGTGAATCAGTAGATGGAAGATCTGTGTGGTATATGTGTGTGTCTTCCTTTCTCTATCACTGCCTTTTGAATAAAATAAATAAATCTTTAAAAAATACATATGGTTCCCAGGCCAGGAGCCCTGAGGATCTGTTAAAAAGGCATATTCTTGGGCTCACATCTTAATAAATCAGAAAATTTGGGAATAGGGGGTCCAGAATCTGTGTTTTAACAAGACCTTCAGCTGAATCAGATGCATGCTGAAACCCTGAGAATTCATTCCATAGGCTTTTACTTGGAATCCCTGAAAGGCTACAACCCAGAAATATAGGCAAACAAAAACTAGACTAACTAGATGAAAATGAAATTTGAGCTTTAAGTCAATCAATTCCCAGGCTAGATTTAGATAGTTTATCTCCATCAAAAGCAAAAGTCCTGCCGGCGCCGCAGCTCACTAGGCTAATCCTCCACCTTGCGGCGCCGGCACACCGGGTTCTAGTCCCGGTCGGGGCGTCGGATTCTGTCCTGGTTGCCCCTCTTCCAGGCCAGCTCTCTGCTGTGGCCAGGGAGTGCAGTGGAGGATGGCCCAGGTGCTTGGGCCCTGCACCCCATGGGAGACCAGGAAAAGCACCTGGCTCCTGGCTCCTGCCATCGGATCAGCGTGGTGTGCCGGCCGCAGCGCGCTGGCCGCAGCGGCCATTGGAGGGTGAACCAACGGCAAAGGAAGACCTTTCTCTCTGTCTCTCTCTCTCTCACTGTCCACTCTGCCTGTCAAAAAATAAATAAATAAATAAAAATAAAAATAAAAAAAAATTAAAAAAAAGCAAAAGTCCTCTCAAGTAGTCACCAGAATTTTTTCATATGCAATACTCCACATGTGCTAAAAAATAAGCATTTCATTACAAAGACCAAGTAATCAAACTAAGATTAAAAAAAAAATAGACAAGCTCCTAAATGTTTAACATATTTGAATTTTCAGTATATATTTTAAGTAGCTTTGGTTACTATATTTATAATGTTAAAATACAAAATTTTAGGAGAAAAATAGAATCAAAACAAATGATAATCCTATTCTGAAAAATGTCTTACATTGTAGATGGGTTTAAGCTATATGGTGGGGGTAGGCATTTGGTCTAGAAGTTAAGCTGTTGGTCGGGAGCCCTTTTCCTGTGCTGGAGTGCCTGGGCGCAAGTCCTGGCTCCAGCTCCCAAATTCTAGCCTTTCTGCTAAATGCATCAGATGATGGCTCAAGTAGTTGGGTCCCTGACACCCACATAGAGACCTAGCCTGAGTTCCTAGCTCCATGTTTTGGCTCAATCTAGTCTTAACCATTACAGGCATTTGGGGAGTGATCCAGCAGATGGGAGATGCCTCTCTCCCTCTTTTCCCACCCTTCCCTCTGAAAAATAAACCAACCAAAACTATATATGGTCTTAACAGTAATACATTAGATAAAACATGATAGGTTAGAAAAATGCAGCAAAAGAAGTACCTTGGAGTATATGGAAAAAAAGAATATACAATACAGGAAAGAGCATAAGAGACTTAAAGAGACAGAGTGAAAAGATTTAACATATGTGTCATTAGAATTTCCAGAAGAATAGGAGAACAACAGTGGGCAAAACAGTATTTCAAAAAATAACTTCTAAGAATTTTCCAGAAGCTGATGAGCTGATGAAAGAATTTTTCAGAGTTGATGGCCAAAGAGCATAAATACAAAGAAAACTACATCTAGGCTCATTACAGTAAAACTGTCTCAAATTATTACAAAGAAAAATATCCTAAAATCTTAGAATTAGATATAATTTTCAAAGGAACAAAACTAAGAGTAATAGCTGATTTTGCAACATAAAAGTGAGGTCAAGATACAATGGAATGATGCCTTCTAAGTGTTAAGAGAAATAATTACCAAGCTAGCAATGAGGCAAAAATAATCTTCAAAGATTAAGGTGAAAAAGATGTTATAATGCAGAGAAAAGCTGAAAGGAACAATTGTCAGTAGATAAGCACTACAAGTGGAAGGGATGTCTTGGAGTAGAAAAAATAACTTCACATGAAAACACAAGAAGTAATAGAAAGGTAAGTTTTTGGTGAATTTAATGAATAATTTTATAAAATAATAATAAATGTCTAAAAATATTTAAAATATATGGATAGTTAAAACACGATCAGCAATAATGCAAAATACCAAGAGCACTGGTAAATGGAGTTAAAACATTCTTGGTTCCTTTCATTGTCCTGGAAGTGGCAAAAGTTCTTATTTATGTTAGACACTTTTATTTCCAGGATTAGAATTATAATCTCCCTAGTAACCAAGAAGGAAGAGGGAAAATAAACCATTGCTTACATAATAATATTGTGAAAAATGGAATGATATAATTGACTAATTTCAAATAAAATAATTATGGAAATGAGAAAACTAAGGCAAATTTTAAGATATTAGACTTGGACCCAAATACAAATATCATCTAAATGTCCATCAACAGAAGACAGGATAAAGAAATTATGGGATATGTACTCTATAGAATACTACACAGCCGTAAAAAAAAATGAAATCCAGTCATTTGCAAAAAAATGGAGGAATCCGGAAAACATCTTGCTGAGTGAAATAAGCCAGTCCCAAAGGGACAAATATCATATGTTCTCCCTGATCTGTAACAACTAACTGAGCACCTAAAAGGAAATCTGTAGAAGTGAAACTGACACTACAAGAAGCAATGACTTGATCAGCCCTTGTCCTGACTGTGGAAGAACAGCCTATTATTTTATTCTTTTTAGTATTTTATTTTTCTACTTAATACCATTGGTTAAACTCTTTACTCACTACAGAATTATTCTTAGGTATTTAAATCCAATTGAAAATTGATCCCTGTTAAAAGTAAGAGTGGGAAAAAGAGAGAATGGAAATGTATAGTTCAGCACATGCTCCCTTGGACTTATGTTTAAGGGTAAAGCTAAACACTTGCCATGGGAATCCAAATCCCATTAAGTTGGCAGGTACTAATGTCATCTTCCTTGTTAAAGTGATCAGTTCAAGTTCATAACTGATCATAAAGATAGGATTAAGTGTCAAAGGGATCACATAAATAAGATCAGTGTCTGCTAATAATAATTGATAGAATTAAAAAGGAGAGAACATGGGAAGCAGGATACACAGCAGACTCATAGAATGACAAATGCCCTAAACAGGACTCTGGCCTCAGAATCAGCCCTTAAGGCATTGGGATCTGGCTAAAAAGCCCATGAGAGTATTTCAGGCATGGAAAGCCAAGACACTGTGGCAAAAAATGACCTAAATGAAAGATTTCTGTGAGTGAGATCTTGGTGGAAAGAACGGCCATTAAAGAAGGAGGTACCTTTCTCTGAAGGGAGCAGAGAACTTCCACTTTGTTATGGCCTTGTCTAAATGATGTCAGAGTTTATGGACTCAAGAGGCTTCCATAGCCTGGGCAGCTCATGACAAGAGCCTTGGGTGATTACTGACGCCATAAACAAGAGTGTCAATTGTTAAATCAACAACAGGAGTCACTGTGCACTTTCTCCCCATGTAGGACCTCTGTCCTTATTGTGTTGAACTATGAGAATTAATGCTAAAACTAGTTTTCAAACAGTATTTTATACTTGTGTGTCTGTGTGGGTGCAACTGTTGAAATCTTTACTTAGTATAGAGTTGATCTTCTGTATATAAAGATAATTAAAAATGAATCTTAATGAAGTATGGGATGGTAGATGGAGTAGGAGATGGAATGGTTTACAGGTGGGAAGGTGTTTATGAGAAGAACCACTATAATCCAAAAGTTGTACTGTCAAAATTTATATTTATTAAATAAAAGTTTTCTATAAAATATGTCAATTAACTACATTAAGTGAAAATGGGTTAAATGATTATTTAATAATAGTTAACAAATACTCTCAGACTGGAGAAAAATAAAAACTACTGCTTATAAGAAATATATCCTAACCACCAGAATTTAGGAGGGCTGAAAATGAAAGGATAGAAACAAGCTTCTAACCAGAAGGAAGTAGAAAGGGCTATACTAATAGGATGAATATTCAAAAACCTCATGGAAAATGTAGTATTATGAAAATTTATGTATGAATTTCAAATTCTGTGCCAAAATAAAAGATCTTTTTCAATTCCATTTCCATGAATTTTTTGAAGTGTATCAGACAAAGTAGATTTTAAGACAAGAAGTATTACTAGAGATTTTAAAAAGTATATTTATAAAGGATAAAATGATCATTTCATCAAGAAAATAAAACAATGCTAACTATGTATATACTTATGACAATTTCAAAATAAGCAAATCAAAAACAGCAAAACTAGAAGAAAAGACAAATCTATAATCATATCTCCATTAGTAATTCACAGTACACACAGACATTAAATCAGTAAGGATATATACAAAGGCACTTCAAAACATTCATGGAAAAAATGGAATTAAAAGATAAGCTTATTTTGATGCAAAAAAACCTGGAAATCCATGTGTAGTTTCTTTCATAATACACACTTTTCATTAACCTGTTGAAGTCTCATCATCTGCATGAATTTCAAAAAATCATTTTTGTAGTAACATCATCTTTTAATTCCATTTTCCATTTTATCCTCATAAAAGATTTGAACAATCATTATTGACTTTGTTGATAGACAAACGGCATTACATCCAGCCATTATAGAATGGACTTTCAAGTAACACATGGAAGACTTATTAAAATTTGACCATGTTCTAGGTTAAAAATACGTCTCAAATACCAAAGAATTGAACTCTTTAAAAGACCTGATTGAAGTCTCTGAAACATTCGTGCTAAATGATTGAGTTTTCCACCCTTTCTTCACTGAATGTATGTGCAAGCTAATAAGCCATTCCTAGTTGAAAATGATACCAAACTATAGATCAAATGCAATTGTAGGGTTTCCTGAACACTAGACCCCAACCAACCAACCAAACTAAAAACTCTGAACTTACCTTCCGCTTCAGAGGGTACCACTGCAATTGCTTATTTTGTTTGTTGTCCCAATCCCATGTTTCCAAATCAAGCTCCACCTCCCCTAGGAAACTGTTGCGCTTAAAAGTATCCCGGTGCCAAACAGACAGGTTCAACTTCTGCGTCTTTAAAATTTGCTTTTCTATTTTATACTGCAGTTCAAAGAAGAAAATTAAACTGATGAATAACATTACCTTTTTCTTTGAATAACATTACTTTATACCAAAGTTATGACACAGAGATGATAAAACTCATCTGGTAGAACAGATTTTCTTGTCTGTTAGGTTTCAACTCTCAAAAACATTGCAAAATCATCTTATTCTAAGTGTCTTATTTCAAAGGGCTAATATCCACTTTTCACAAAGTTGGTTTTCTTCTCCACTTCCCATCCCTGATGAAGCAGACCATGGCTCAAATATCATAGCCAGTAATAGCTCTCTAAAAACAAAAGCCAATTCTCAATTTTGCTGGATATTTTTAGACTAAGCATATATCAAATTCAGTCTAAAAACACAAGTAACATTTAATTCAGTTCTCTTGTTTTCTATGAAGATCAGGTATTTTTAAATAAACTTTATTTTCAGAGCAGTTTTAGGGTCACAGTAAAACTGAGCATAAAGTAGCATTCCCATCAACTGCTGCCTCCACTTCCATATACCTCCCCTACTATCCAGACCACAAGGACAGGTATTTTTCAAAAACAACAAACTTGTTTTTCCTGTTCATATGGCCAAGCAGGAAATATTTGGTATCTCAACAATTTTTCGTTTCAAGTGTAGTCAATTCTTGATTATACATAATCATGGAAGAGATAACAGTACTTGTCTAAAAATAATCTCTATGTGGCTGTAGGATGTACAACTTGAATGTCCATTTTGGTTACAGCAGAACTGCCTTACTGTGAGCTTACCATTAGCTGGCTTTTTCTGAGTATAGGGTTGAAGTAGCTCCCAGAAATAGCTAGGAACTGGAGTATATCATAGTCAAATACTAATTAAGAACTTGCTATACAAAATCCACAAGCTAGCTAATTTACTCATGGATGACTGAGAGTTTATTTAACTGCTGCTTTTCCCAGAGAACCAAATACTTGAACAGAGTTTTCAGAAAGAGAGAATGATCATCTTTTATATTTCTAGTTCTAAATGATCTGTCAGTCATAACTAAGCTTGATGCAGTTATAGGAGAAAAAGAACATAAATATGTGAGCCAGGTTTACTTTCCATTCATCTGTCAATTCCTCTATTCTTCCAATCAACATCTTTGAGTACCTATCATAGATATTATATTGAGTAAAAATTTATTAGATGCTTAATGTGTGCTAAACACTTCACTCTTATTTACTCTTTCAATGTTCACAACTACTGATAAGTACTGTTACTATCTATCTCCCTTGTGCAGATCTGAAAACAGCCACTATCCCCATTTTGCAGATCTGAGGTGCACACATATGAAGTTATTTGCTCAAAGGCATCCAATTTATCAATAACTTAGAGTTAGTTCCTGCCCTCATGGAAATTACAATTTAGTGGTAAGATAAATACTGAAATCGCCAGTTAAAAGTGCCAAATATTAACATTGCCTATTATAAAGCCAAGTTATTGAGGGAGCAGGCTGTAGGGGATATTAGGGGCTAAGGAAAACCTTTCATAAGAAGAGGTATTTAAGACATAATATTCCAGCTGAAGGAACAGAACACCCCAGTAGTACAAGTACATCATCCAAGGTGGCTGGAACAAAGATTATGAAAGGGAAAAGTTGAGGCTGGATAGAGCTCAGGTTGTAAAGGATGCACTTATCCCTTACGACAATGGGAATCCTAGAAGATTTTTTTTTCTTTCAAACTTTTATTTAATGAATATAAATTTCCAAAGTATAGCTTATGGATTACAATGGCTTCCCCCCAATAATGTCCCTCCTACCCGCAACCCTCCCCTTTCCCACTCCCTCTCCCCTTCCATTCACAGAATCCTAGAAGATTTTAAGCAGAGAAATAATGTGATTAGAATTGTGCTAGAAGAAAATTCCAGTTGCATTGTTTAACTTTATAAGTTATGTATCCTTGACTAATTTACTTTATTTTTCTAACCTATATTTGCCTCATCTGTGATATACAGATAATGATGCCACTGGTTGGGTATGTTTGGGGAATGAATGAGATAGTGTAGTAACACTCATGCTATATCATCAAATACAAAGCAAATCCTCGAGAAAATTTCATTCCTTTCCTTCTTTTCTTTGGTGACTGACTTTATCTGTAGATACATTACTCAAGGAGGTACAGTTATTTAAATGCATAGGTATTATTTAGGATTTTCCTTTATATAAAGGTCATAGATACCCGCAAAATCTCATTATACACAGGATTCAAGGTTTTCTTCACTACGAGTGTTTTCTTCTTGCCCACTTTGCCTTTGTCTGGTAACAAATAGGTCTTTACATATCTAAAAAGAGAATTGAAAGACAAGAAGTTCAGAAAAGATAAAAGTGATGTTTCAGCTTCTACTTTCAAAAAATGCATTGAAAACTGACAGCAGATATAATTATTTCATGACACTGAGAAAAGCAGTTAGAAACAAATCTTTCTGTCAACATCTTTATACTTAAATGTTTAAACAGATTTTAGTGCAGTTGAGCATTAGTAATGTTTTGAGGATTTTTTTAAGGACTTTTAAGGAAGATTTCCTGAGTTACTGTCTTATTCCTTGACTTTCCCTAATATGTGGGGGATTCCCCAGTGGGACAGACCTCTTACATAGTGCTTAGTCTGTTGGTTTGTCTCCTAGTGAGAAAAGGCTTTGGTGCTTGCAGTATTTTTCTCTTTTTAAGTTTCTTGACAAAAATTGATCTTACCACACATCTAACTAAGCCATATTCATTGTAAAAGAGAAAAAAAGGACCTTAAACCCAGTTGTTTTCATAATAAGAATTAAAGGACTGGGCTTGTCCCAGCGAAATAATTAAGCAATGAACTTCTGTGTTGGGATAAGTGTAGAATACCATATTTTGCAAATAAACTGAAATGCATCAAATCTGTGATTGAAAACATAAGTACCATCCCTTGAGTTCTTTAGGACATAATTTATATGAAAACTTTAGATTTCTGGACTCCTAAATAATTTTATATCACTGAACTGAGTGTCTCACATGTCCCTGATTTTAGAAAAAGTTCAAGAATGTGGTAAAAAGATACCAGAATTAAAACCTTCATTCCTCATTTTGCTGCTACCTGAACTCACATATATGAATCACTCACTTTTTCTAGACCTTGCTTCCTTACCTGTAAAACGAAGGAACTTGGCAAGATGGCCTTAAAGGTTTCTTCCAAGTTGAAACATTTTGTGTCTCTCTGTGATTTTCATAATTTAGTAAGCTTATGCAGTAAATCAAACAGCATTTCCCCCAAATTTTCAAACAGTCCTTCTAACACAGTCACCACATGCCTTCCCTTTAATTACTTTCTTTCTTTCCCCATTCCTACAAGATGAATAATTTGAGAACCAAGAGAAACTAGTTGACTCCAAAATGTACTTACGGGTCTGAACGCTGTCTTTTAACATCTGCAGCTGCCAAGTCCTTACACTGGGCCACAAAAACATGCAACTCCTTCAGTGAGTCCACATAGTCGATTGCAAACTGAATGTTTCCTTTAACTTCCAGATTTCCGAAGTCTCCACTATAAACACTCATTACACTGCCACTCACCTAAAAGCATTAGAAACATGCAATACTCATCTCTATTTCATTCTTGAATCCAGCACAAGGATCATGGATATAATCCTTGCTTGGCATTATTTCTCTAGCTTACATGTAAAAGCAGTTAATTTAATATGGCATCAAGACATATCAGTACAGATACCTTGACATGGTACAAATGGCTACTGTCGCCCAAAACAATGTCCCCTTAAAGATACAGATGAAAAGTGAAACGCAAAGTTATGTGCATGTTGGCTCATTTCAAAACAGGGTGATTTTATGCTAATGGCATTCAAAGCTCCATTTTTAAGCATGCTTAGTGTTTAAAGTGCCAAAGAAAGAGGATATGAGAAACTCCAGGCACACAAATCACAGTGACACATTGCTCAAATTTCCAAGGCACTGAAAAGGAATTTTACCATGTTACCCACCCACTGAATGTAGGAAAATGCTTATTGAGCCAGGGGCTTTTAGAGGTCAGGAAGGGTAGAAAATGGATGATTGATGAAGGGAGTATAAAGCCTTCCCAAGGGCATCCATTAAATTATCAGCAGAAACTCAATTTATATAGATTTTTTAAAAAGATTTCAGAAATGCAAGGCTAGTAAGAATTTAAGCACAGCTTTATCATTTGTCTAGCATATTTTGTGAGATATATGTATATCAGAAAAATATTTGGTGAGTACATGTGGATATATTTACATATATGTATTTCTACATATATACTACGTGTACAAACCATATCATTTAATGTAAATTCTATGTAAAATCAATTCTCTTAAATCTAAACAAGTAAATTTGAGGAGCTTTCCTTTTAAAAACCCTGTTCTGAATCCTCCTATAAAGTCGAGAATCACCTCTCTTACCTCTCTTATTCTTTCATGTGAATCAGCACATTTATCAACCAAGCTGACAAAAAGAGGAGCATAATGCTGTGACTGTAAACAGTATATAAAAGCATATTTGATATAAGCAGAATTTATAACAGCTATCCCAACTTTTACACAGAAAAATTTAATGATTCATCTTGTTGGTAATCTAGGTTTATTTCTGAAGTATTTATATTTAAAAAGATACATTTATTTATAATAGATATATACCCCTTACTTTTTTTTTTTTTAAGGAAACTTAGCCAGCAAGAAGTTAATTATGGATTAGAGAAAATGCTTGTGCCCTTGGAGTCTGAGAAATACATTAAGAGGCCATTTTACAATGACCAGGAGCGTGGCAGAGAGAGGTTCAGAGAAGCGGAGAGATATTAACACAGAGCCTTTGTTTACATACAGAAGACAAGGACGTCATGCCAGAGGAGCTGCTAAGATTGGTTAAAGAGCCGGGGCTCTTCTTGTGTCTGCTGAGCTGGTAACTGCTTTCTGATGCTGTATCTGTTTCTCTGTCATCACTCTACAAAACATCATATAATAGGCATAGTGTTTACATTCAGAATGAATCAAGGTCAGAATTTGTTTAGGCACAGATGATATCTTGGTATCCCATTGATTAATGACATTTCTCAAGGCCAAAGGATGCTAGTACTAAGCACCAGGGAATAGGATTCAGGATGGGGTAGGTGCTCTGCAGTGACCCTCCTAAAGAGGAGGCAAGTACTTAGCTACAAAAATTAAAAGATTTTGGCACCTATAAGGTGGACCCAACCACCACAGGAGAAAGCAATATTAAGAGTTTTCTTGTCACTCTTTGAATATATATATTCAAAAAGTATTAACTTTACAAAAAACAATATATGAGACACTATTAAACTAGGAAAAAGGAATGTTGCATTGACTTATTATTATATTTGTATAATGATTACATATAATTTTAATCCATTCCTTAACATTTCTACAGTGTTATTACATTAAACTTTTTTGTTACTACAGGGAACTATATTAAATTACACATTTTACCCATTTTAGATTTTAACACATTTTTTAAAAATAGCAAGAAGATACTTATTTTAAATATGCTCCAGGAAATAATTACCTGGGACAAGAAAGAAAAGTGGCATTAACACATTTTATTATATTTAATTTGAAAGGTTATAGCTTTAAAAATTCATGATTCAGAATGAGCTCCTTTTGGGGTTAGACAGCTTATTCAGTGGCTTCTGGGGTTAAGAAAACAACTTTAGGCAAGAGTGGTTAGTTCATGCCAACATATTCCAGGATCATGCAATTATGCATCAATATAATGGATGCCAATTCTAATGCATATTAACAAAAGGAGTTAAAGAAAAACAAAATTAATGACTTACATGGATAAGAAAAGAATACTCTCTCAAGGGTTAATTCTAAATCCATGCTTTTTAAATGTCTCTGCTGCCACACTGTCTACATGCTTAACAGTCCACTTCCTTCTATCACAGTATATACTACATTCTACTTAGTACATGAAACCATTGGTGAATTAAGGGAAGATGGGGCTCTGTCTTATCGACTTGGAATAGCGTTTTTCACATAGGTGGTACCCCCAAAATGTGACTGATGCTAAGTCTCAAAGGGACAGCGAAAATTAAAACAAGACCCGATTTCATCTCCACTTCTTTATCATTCAGTTCAACCCCATGGACTTTGAAACAAAAAATGAATGGTTTAATTCTGGTATCCCTGACATACAAACCAAAATGATTGGAACTCTCCTTGATTTAGAACTGATATAAAGGTTAAAACTGAAGAGAAAAGAAATATTAAAGATCAGAAACCAACATAATTTGTCTCCCAATTACATGGTCCATTCATATGACTATCCAAGAGCAAAGCAGATTTACAAAGGTACAGAACCACAGGAACTCTATGGAATACCTACCACTGGCTTCCAGCTGATGAGTTATTTCCAAAGAGTGAGTGATTCTTTCAAAAGGAAATTACAATATGGGCTCTTAATAATATGCAAAGGCTGAATATTTGCATATACTGTTCAACTTTAGGCCCAGGAACGGACAGGTGGTTGCCCAGGATAGTGGAAGGAAATATAATTTATCTGTTGCCCAGAGCTGTCCTCACTTTCTGTGAGGAGAATGCCTGAGGGTAAAACTTTTTTTGTCACTGTAAGGAATCAGATCAAAATCACCAATAATAGCAGCTAACATTTACTAGGTACTGATTATGTGCCAGGTACCATGCTGTGTGTTTTCCCTATATTGCTCCACTGATTTTCCCAAAGTTAACGTGGTAAGTACTAGGAAACAAGACACAGGGAAGCTGAAAAATTTGCTCTCGATTTCACAGCAAATTGGTATCATAGCCAAGACTGGAATGTCTGATTTCAGACCTCAAACTCCTAACTATCTTACTGCAAGAATATGGAATATTAATGTCAAAGGATTTGAGTTAAAGCCCTACTTTTTAGTAGCTGTTGGATTTTGGAAAAGTTAATTAACCTCTCTGAGGCTCTTTCCTCTTTTGTTTTAAATGAAGATGTACCTTCCACATACAGTTAGAAAGAGTTGGACATCAGAATGAGTATTAAGTGCCTGGTATATATTAGATTCTCAAAGAATAGTAGGTAATAGGTTCTCATTTGAGACAGTGTGGGATAGTGGATAACATCATGCAAGTCAGATCTGGGCTCCAGATCTGGTTCAACCCTTCCTAGCTGAGCGAGGTTAATTCCCCTCCCTTAGTCTCAATTTTGTACCTGTAATATCTGTGCATAATTATGATGTCTACCTTCCAGGGTTGCTGGAGGACTAATTCAAATGATATATGTAAAGTGGGTGGATTCCAGTAGAAACTCCTTAAAGTCTGTCATATCATTATTACTTTACTGTTTTAACAAAAGCTTTCAAACTACCTAGAGCAAGCTTTTACAAATCAACTCTAAACTGAAAAATCTAAACTACAGAAAAGTAGTTCATGCCAACATATTTCTACCTGGATTTCTTATTTTATCCCTACTTGGAAACAGAAGTCCAGTTCCCTAATCTATGCAATTTGACTTCACTGATCAAAAAGAGTTACTGTTTGAGTCAAATGAGACATGCCTTGCCTTGTTCCAGGATCCACAACACTACCTCCATTGACTTGGAAGGCAAGGGTCATTCCTGCTGACCTCTCTGGTCTCTGCCACAGCAGAATACAAATAGATCAACCTCAGCAGAGCACATTCACCTATCTGGTTCCATTTTTCTGAAGGTACAAAAGACAAACTTGCCTCATCTTGAAGAAATGCTGGAACAGACTTGCTCATCCTTTTGAGTTTGTCAGGGTGGGAAAATTGATTATCGGGTTGTGAAGGCACTGTGGAAACTAAACAGCATTTCCATTTCAAAATTATTCTTAACAATTACCAGACAACATTAGCCATGAGTTGAAACATTTTCATTTATGAACAAATATGTTTCTATAAAAAGGTTAAGGGCACAGTAGTTTACATGCATAGGATTATGAGGTAAGCAACATGCAGCTTTTATAAATTATATATAGAGAGAACTAGCAAGGAGTTGAACCAAATACAAAATAGAAAGTTTTTAAAACACTAGTCCTAAAAAAATAAATAAAAAAAAATATTAAAAAAAAAAACTAGTCCTTACTGAACTGGAGTTAGACCTGAATTATATTATACTATCAATGTGAATTGGTTTTAACTTAATTTTTCCCCTCAGAGCTTTGAAACATAAGGTCTATAATTTATTGGTTCATCTTCTTGAGATAGGTCTACAGTACTTACATGCTACAGGCTGAAAAACTATTTCATCCAGACACTAAGAGTATTCGTACAAAACTTCATAATAGAAATGTCCTGGTTATTAAGTGTCTAAGGGCACATTTGCTTATTTAATAATGATCATGGGGATTACTTTTCTGATGGTATTTTTCACTTAGAATTATGAAAGGGTATAGTTTAAAAATTAAGTCTTAAAAATAGAAATTATTTAAAAACTTGTCAACTCTGAGAACTTTCATTATCAAAAGGCCAATTTTGAGCAGTTCAAGTTAGGACATGTTAAGTATTTAATATGAAAATATAGCATATATCTTCTTTCTGATACAGAAAGTATATGTATAGAAGGCACAAGATGAATTCTAATCCTAATTTGCACACCTCTATTTAGAAAACTATTCTCTTCATTGTCTAAGGATCACTATGTTTAAGCTTTTCTTATGGTGAATCTATGGTGAATCATAGAACTTATGATGATTGAGTTAATATTTTCCAAGGCCCTGAGAACAAACAGTTCCTGACACACAAAAGCTTCCATATACATATTTTCTGAATGAATAAATATTATCTCATAGAGACTCTTAACTTACATTGTGAATACAATACTAATATATTGGCTTGGCTTTGTCAGCAAAAGAAATATTGGGGGAAATATATTAAAATCAAAAATCAAATTATTTTTACATGTAATCAAAAGACTCAAATTCAGCCCTCACCATTAGCAAAATTCATCCTTAGTTGAAAAAATTGTTAATAAAGGAAAAATTGAAATTTGAGCTAAATATATGCCTGTTCATGTAACAGTTCTTATCTACCTTATGCTCACAAAGTCAAATTTGCATCAAAATACATTCATGGTATCTCAATCAGAATGATGTCTACATTAATCACCACTTCAATAATTCTCTCCGTATGTGTATGTGTGTATACAGAGGTGCGTTCTATTGGTAGCAGTGCAAGCTTAGGTTCCACCATATGGTCCAATGAAAATGAAAAAAAGTTTTTGTTATTTCACTGTTCCCTATTATTTACAAAGTATATTGTTAAATGATGCTATGAAGGTCAAATTCAATTATATTTACTACTCACATGTCATTTATGTTTTGGTCATGTATTTGCTTTTATCTTTTGGCAAATACACATACATACACATATACAAGTATATACATACACAAGTATATACATACATTCTCTCTCCCATCTCTCTCCCTCTCCCTCCTTCCTTCCCTTCCCCCACTCCTGCCTTCTAGTGAAAAAGCAGTACAAGTCATTATGGAAAATATTAATTAAAAAAGATTTCAACATACAATCTATTTTTCTTGATCTATTAGGAGGTCACAAGCAAAGATATAGATACATAGGCTTATGGCTATGCACGAGAGGGCTTCAAAAATTTAATGGATATTGCACATTATCTTGTAATCCAATTTTTTCATAAAATTTTTAAAGTCTCATAAATTTCACTTTCCTTTCTCAGGCTAAATGTTGAACAAAACATAGCAAGGCAGAATGAGATTTAAACATATAGCACTTCGAAAGCAACTGAAAAAGCCTCGTTAGCCAACACCCTTTCATGTCACACTCCTGTTTCCTCTGCAGCAGCCAGAGAGCACATACTCACAGGGGCTGGAAGCTGGATTGTCTTCTTGCCTAGGCAGTTCTTGAGAATTCATCAGGTCATGTGCCAAAGCTCAGCGCCTTTACGGCTGGCAGAAGGACCTCATGAGCAAAGTTTCAGATTTCACACTAGATGTCACTGACTTCTCTCATCAGCACTTTGTGTCTCTATCTAATGGCTCCCTCATTTAGCTGCTACTCTCAATAAGTGGCCTATTAGCACATCCAAAGGCTGTTGGGAAATGATTACTAAAAGTCCTGTGGATCTGAGGACAGACATGTGTATCATTTTCTTCATACCTCGGGGCCTAAATTTATGAAATCAACTTAAATTGGGAAGCTAAGAAATCACACATGCATATGTGCACATTTTTGCTAGGCCCCACAGCACCTTTTTAATGCATTATTTGTCTTTAAGACGGTAGTCACAGCTAAGTAATCTAAAGATTAAACAACAAAGAATGAACAAACATTATCTTTGCTTGGTGTGGACATTGATTAGTTGATGGATATATTTATTTCTTAGTTTCCGATGTACACTTACTTTTTACATCAAATATTTACTGTTTAATTTCAGTTTTAAACCTTAGAGTTTAGATATAATAAAAATTTGGTTTTCTTGATTCTTAGAGAGATATATACAACCATACATTCGACACACCAGCTGTCAAACTACAGTTCTTTCTTGGTTGCTTCATGTGTATAGTCATACATAGAGGCCATAAGACAGCCAATATCCAAGACTATACTGCAACATAAAAGTGCAGTTAAATTAGAAGGTGCCAACTTGATTGTATATAAAAACTCAAAGAGCCAAGACTAACAAAAGCACAATATACAGTAATAATTCACACATACACACACATATATATGTGCAAATTCTCCCTCACAGGACTCATGAATTACTCTTTCAACAGACACAGTAGTAAAAAAGAAATAATAAACTTAATCAAAATGAAATGGTTTTACAAATTGCAAGAGTTTAGTATGGCCGGCGCCGCGGCTCACTAGGCTAATCCTCCGCCTTGCGGCGCCGGCACACCGGGTTCTAGTCCCGGTTGGGGCGCCGGATTCTGTCCCAGTTGCCCCTCTTCCAGGCCAGGGAGTGCAGTGGAGGATGGCCCAGGTGCTTGGGCCCTGCACCCCATGGGAGACCAGGAAAAGCACCTGGCTCCTGGCTCCTGCCATCGGATCAGAGCGGTGCGCTGGCCGCGGCGGCCATTGGAGGGTGAACCAATGGCAAAGGAAGACCTTTCTCTCTGTCTCTCTCTCTCTCACTGTCCACTCTGCCTGTCAAAATAAATAAATAAATAAAAAAATAAAAATAAAAAAAAAGAGTTTAGTATGAGTGATAAATGTGTTATTAATTGGGTTAGTTATTTCAGTATATTCAATACTGTGTACAGTGGATTATTAAGTCAATTGTAAGAAAAATCCTGCTACTCACTTCCTGGTATGCATTCATTTGTATCTGGCTCCTCATCTGCTTTTTGATCTACTCAGAAGAGCAACATTACAAATAAATACCATTTTAACAGAAGGATTAAGAAAACATGAAAGTAAAGCTCAAATGTCAGTTTCACAACCGAAACTGCAGAATGCATCAAACAAGTTTTCAGCTTTCATCCATTCTGCAACATGACTCCTCATGGACCTTTTTAGAGTCTCCTTTTCAACTGCAAGTCTAAGATCCAACATAGGAGATGTGCAGCATTTTTCCTTTAATTCCCTAGATCACAACACTGAAAATAGGAGTGACAAGCTAAGATTCTACTCCCCATCCTCACACTGACTAGCCACAGGATTTCAGAAGTCACCTGATTTCTCTGAGCTGTTCTTGTCTACAAAATGAAGATAAAAATTCTTGCTCCACCAATTTTAATGAGGTTGTAAATATAAAATAAAATAGATAAAATTATTACATAAAAGTAAGGAATGACCTTTGAGGAGCTTTGTTGCTGTTTGATACAGGAAAACTCAGTGAGTACACGTTTTTGTGATGACAGTAAAGGCAGTTTGGCATAAAAAACTAGCATATAAATATAAATTATACATTTACCCAAATTTTGAAGTATAAAAATCAAAGTCATTTCCATCCCTCCCCCGATTAAGGCATTATTACCTTATTCATTTTATAACTGAACCAAATAAATACCTTATCTATTGACAAACTTCAAGATTTTCTGGCTCTTTAATATTCAGAATCAACTAACTTCACCTTCAGTTCATACTTAGTTATTTACACAAGCAGAGGCAGGATTCCCCACCCTTGTTCTGGGATCCTTTCCTTTGAACTGAAGGCTTTACCAGTTATGCCCAGAGAAATCTAAATGCTGAGATATAAAAATCAAACACAGGAATAACTTAACCCAGGACACCACTCTACTGTTCCTGTCTCCAGAAGGAGTTCTGCAAGTCAGAGTAAAAATCAGCTCATAACCATAGAAATACATTTTCCTATTTATAGAAATCCTTGTATCTCAAGGTTCTCTGATAAGATCCTCACAACAGTATCATCAGCAGAAGCCTTAAGAAATGCAAACAGTATTAAAAGCATCAAGTCAGAACTGATTTATAACAACTTAGGAAATATTTGCTACATAGTGACTAATTGGTTCTTTTATTCATCGGACAGCTGTGTCCCCTGACTGCCCAATTCACCCCAGAACTTAATACACAGAAAGACATGCAAATACATAAAGATATTTACCATCTCCAGCACTACGTACTAATTCTTCTGGCAGATTATCTACTTTTGCTTGGTCTGTTCAGGAGAAATTAACAAATGGTTAACATGGCTGACCCTTGGAGAGAGAAGAACAATGAAATTGTCCCTGGAAGCTCCGGAGTTGGAAGCAATTAGTCAAAATGCAGTGAGGGGTGCAACCAAGATGTCTTCCCCCAAATACTTTCTCTTTAGATTAGCTACTTGAGCCAGTGCCATAGCAGGAGCTCCCATTTCAGCTCTGATGCAGCTCACATCAGCACACGGCTGCACACTGACTCCCAAGGGTTAGAGGGTTAGCTCAGAGCAAGCAATCTTCCAGCAGCAGGAAAAAGCACGGGGCTGCAACAGCCTCTCTATTCTTCTGGAAAGAGTAGGATGCTAGCCATGACTAACACCTTCCCCAACCTATGGTCATTAACAAATATTTGTGTATGTGCATCACCGCTTGTATACGCCTCTAGGAGTTTACTTGCTTGGGAAGTCAACTGAAGAGATGTAACTGGGGACCAGCTGCTAAGTGGAATCTTGGCAGGCTAGTGTGAGAGTGGGCATCGGTATTTGGAAGGGAGAGTGCAGGAAAACCTGTCAGCTGATGGCGATTTTCTTTTAACCCTTCGCATCCCTGAGTATTTCAAAGCTGCAGCATGGAAGTATCCCTATGCTTCACAGGCAAGAGCTTTGCTAAATTGGACAATTGTTGCTGAGGTTATTTTTTTCCCCTCAGGATCTGTCACCAATACAAGGAAGAACAATCAGGGCTATCAGACAAAGGCTTAGACTTGCCTTCTCTGGAATCACTCAGGCAGATGTGGGGCTTGGCCACCTGTTGAGGTGGATTTAGAGAGAATTCTAGTACTGGAGGGAGTTTGAAATGGATCACCTCCAAGGTCCCTTCCTACCCTAAGATTCCAAGAACCTTCAGAGGGTTAGGACTGTGTCCTAAATTGGGAATTCAGTCTTCAGAATGCAGGGAATCTCTGAATTTGAAAAATAGTTTGGTGTAGTGATTCTTTTTCTTTTAAAACTCTGACTTCTTAATCTCAATTACAGATGCATAAAATTTTTCTAAACCTGATAATGGTCAGTTATTAGTCATAAGAGTTTGGCAGTGGTTAACTTTCACTGAATAAATTTTCTTATGATTATCTGCAACCCCAGGGGAACATTTTAGTTTCAAAATAGCAAGAGTGGGGCCAGAGCTATGGCATAGCAGACTAAACCACCACCTGTGGCCCCAGCATCCCATATGGGTGCCAATTCATGTCCCAGCTGTTCCTTTTCAGATCCAGCTTTCTGCTAGCCTGGGAAAGCAGTAGAAGATGGCTCAAGTGCTTGGGCCCTTGCACCCGCATGGGACTCCTGGAAGAAATTCCTGGCTCCAGGCTTTGGATAGGCTCAGCTCCAGCCATTGCAGCCATTTGGGGAGTCAATCAGCAAATAGAAGACCTTTCTCTCTGTCTTTCCCTCTCTCTCTCTCTAACTCTACCTCTCAAATAAATAAATGAAAACTCAAAATGGTAAAACACCTAGAATTCATGGTTTCTAAGTCTATTCAACTGGCATATACGTCTCTATATACATTATGCTTTCTGTTAGTACTGAAGAAATCCTTCACCAATTAAAGCAGCAAACAGTGGGAAACAAGTATTCACATTAGGAAGTATTGGGGCTTACAATTCCAGTACCTAAATGAAGTGTGGGAATAGAAAAGGAAGGCTAAAAGAGAAAGGAAAATTCTTAAAGCCAGGGACTAATTCAATTCCATATCATGTAAAATTCATCAACTATCCAACACAGTCATAATAACATGGCTACTTCAGAGATGCTCTGAAGAACAGTTTGTTGATGCTGAACTCCAGGTCTGCTATGTGATACTAAGCAGGTGATTCACCTCCCTGAGCTGTATGTTCTTCACTTGTAAAGTGGGGAGAGTAATTCATCTCAGAGTTGCTTATGCTGATTAAATGAGAAAATACAAAGTTCTTAGCCAAGTTTTGGTATATAAAATTCAATAGATGTTAGCTATTGCCTGTTCCACCAGTCTTACTGTCTACCGCAATCCTTTAAAACTCAATGTACTCGAATAAACACTCGAATTGGGATTCTATGAGTCTAAGAAACCTCGTGTTCTAGTACCAAACCTCACACATGATTTTAAAGCAAAGTGCCAGCCATTTTAGGGTAAGCCACTTTAGCACACTTAGGACAGGTTATTCTCATCCATTAACCCCCTCCACATAGTGGGTTCAGTGCACAGTAGCATGCAGTGAGGCCACAGACGAGCACATAGGCATTTGTAAGCTTAGGTGGTACATGAACAGTGGGGCAAACTTGATTCTCACTTGATGAATCTGATGAAATGTCTTCTAGACTTTTGGAAGGCATTTTCCTAGCAGCACTCCTTTCCAAAGTTTTCAAAACAGGACTGGGTTCTTCTTCTGAACCTGTTACAAGACAAAATTGATGAACACTGCACGATACCAAAAAAGAGATTCTTTTAATAACCAATGGACATTGAAATAGGTGAAAAGAAAATGTCATAAGCCTCACTACTTTTATGTACTCTAACAAGCACTTACTCCACAGAAGAAAATAATATTTCTCTACTGTTAATATGACAATTTAAAAAATTTTTCCTGGGGTCAGTGTTGCAGCACAGAGGGTTAAGCTGCTGCCCGTAAGGCAAGCATCCCCTATGACTGAGTCCCAGCTGCTCCGCTTTCAATAGTTTCCCTGCTAATGTACATGTGAAATCAGCAGATGATGTCCCAAGTGCTTTGTCCCCTGCCAACCACATGGGAGATCCAGATGGAGTTTCAAGCTCCTGGCTTATGCTTGTCCCAGCCCTAGCCATTGAGGTGATTTGGGGAGTGAACAGTGAATGGAGGAAGATTTCTCTGTCTCTCCCTTTCTCTCTCTTTAACTCTTCCTTAAAAAAAAAAAAAAAAACAAAAAAACAAAAAAAAAAACCTTCAAAAAATTTTTTTGGGGCTGGTGCTGTGGCATAGCAGGTAAAGCCAATGCCTGTAGTGCCCACATCACATATGGGCATGGTTTGCGTCCCAGCTGCTCCACTTCCAATCCACCTCCCTGCTAATGTTCCTGGGAAGGCAGCAAAGGATGGCCCAAGTGCTTGGGCCCCTGTACACATGTGGGAAACCTGGATGAAGCTCCTGGCTCTGGACTTGCAATTAGCCCAGCTCCAGCCACTGTGATCATTTGGGGAGTGAACCAGTGGATGGAAAAATCTCTCTTTTCTCTCTGTAACTCTATCTTTAAGATAAATAAGTAAATCTTGAAAAACAAAACAAAAATTTTCCTATTGAGGAAATATTTGCAAACACAAACCACATAAAAAGATTATCACACTCAGGGGCCAAAGCTGTGGCATAGTGGGTAAAGCCATCACTTGCAGTGCTGGCATACCATGTGGGTGCCGGTTCAAGTCCTGGCTGTTCCACTTCCAACCCAGCTCTCTGCTATGGCCTGGGAAAGCAGTAAAAGATGGCCCAAGTCATTGGACCCCTGCACCCACATTGGAGACTCAGAAGAAGCTTCGGATGGGCACAGCTCCAGCCATTGCAGCCATCTGGGGAGTGAACCAGTGGATGGAAGACCTCTCTCTCTCTCTCTGCTTCTGCCTCTCTGTAACTCTGACTTTCAAATAAATAAATCTTTAAAGAAAAAATGCTGAGAAATAACATGGAGCAGTCAACTTTTTACTTAATTAGTTCATTTAATTTAATTTATTTATTTGAAAGGCAGAGAAAGAGATAACTTAGATCTACTGGTTTATTCCTTAAATACCCACAAAAACCAGGGCTGGGCCAAGCCAAAGCCAGGAGTCAGGTACTCCACTCAGGTGTCCCATGTAGAATACAGGGATTCAAGAGCTTAAGCCATCATCTGCTGCATTTACAGAAAGCTGGATGAGAAACAAAATAGCTGAAACTTGAACCAGGCACTCCCATGTAGGATGTAGGCAACCCAAGTGGCAGCTTAACCTCCTACACCAAAACACCCATCCCAGCTAGGTTAATTTAAAAGGGAGGAATTCTATCACTTACTAATGGCTCAATTTTATAAAAGGAAAGACATTTCAGAATCAAGACAGAGAGGGGAAAAAAAGAGTGCACAATCTCAAAATAAGACTAGTCCTTAAATTAAATACATCCAACTGTACAAAAAAATTCCCCAAATAATCCTTAATCTCTCCATTTTGACAGTGAAAACATGATCAAGAATAAGGCCTGGGGGTTGGTGCTGTGGCACAGCAGGTTAATGCCCTGGCCTGAAACACCAGCATCCCATATGGGTGCCAGTTCTAGTCCCAGCTGCTCCTCTTCCAATCCAGCTCTCTGCTGTGGCCTGGGAAAGCAGTAGAAGATGGCCCAAGTCCTTGGGCCCCTGCACCCACGTGGAAGACCAGGAGGAAGCTCCTGGCTCCTGACTTCAGACCAGTGCAGCTCTGGCTGTTGCGGTCATCTGGGGAGTGAACCAGTGGATGGAAGACCTCTCTCTCTGTCTCTGTCTCTACCTCTCTCTATAACCCTACCTTTCAAGTAAATAAAATAAATCTTTTTTAAAAGAATAAGGCCTGGCCTGAATACTGCCATTTATCATTGTTGGATTCTCAGAGCCTAGAATAGTGACTGGCGATAGTCACTTCAAAAATATTTACTGAGTCAACAAATGATTCAATTAATTAATCATTGAATTTAAGAACCTCTTCCCTAGATGATAATTTCCTGAAGTGCATTCCAATTCTGTCTAATGTTACTATGCATTCCACAGGAAAAGGATTCTAAGACAAATTGGATTTTGGGTGCTCTTTCTTCAAATTTAAAAGGCTTCCTACTGCAGACCTGCTCAGAGATTTTAACATGCTAATCACATGCATAATATATCAGCTTTTTCCAAAGTTTTTTTTTAAGATTTATTTATTTAAAAGTCAGAATTACACACAGAGAGAAGGAGAGGCAGAGAGAGAGAGAGAAAGGTCTTCTATCCACTGGTTCACTCCCCAGATGGCCTCAACAGCCGGAGCTCCACCAATCTGGAGTCAGGAGCCAGGAGCTACCTCTGGGTCTCTCACGTGGGTGCAGGGGTCCAGGGACTTGAGCCATCTTCCACTGCTAAGATTTATTTATTTGAAAGGCAGAGTTAGAGAGACGGGTTGGGGGATGTCTTCAATCCACTGGCTCACTCCCCAAATGGCTGCAACAGCCAGGACTGGGCCAGGCCAAAGCCAGGAGCTAAGAGCTTCTTCTGTGTGTTCTACATGAATGCAGGGGCCCAAGCACTTGAACCATTTTCCACTGCTTTCCCAGGCACATTAGCAGAGAGCTGAATTAGAAGTGGAGCAGCTGGGACTCGATCCAGCATCCATGTGAGATGCCAGCATCCCAAGTAGCAGCTTTACCTGCTACACTGCAACACTGGCCCTCCATGTGTCTTCTGTGTCTGTCTCTTTCTTTCTTTCAAATAAAAACACACAAACTAAAAAAAAAAATTTTAAACTGACCCTATAGCTACTTACAAAGGAACCCAAACCTCACAAGTCAGTTACTCTGTAACACTTATATACTCATATTTTCATTGAGACTATAGTCTATTAAAGTACAAGGAAGAGGCTACTACTGTGCTGCAGTGGGTTAAGCCACTGTCTGCAACACCAGCATCCCACATGAGCACTGGTTAGAGTCCCAGCTGCTCCACTTCTGATTCAGCTCTCTGCTAATGCATCTGGGACAATAGCAGAAAATGCCCCAAGTGCTTGGACAGATCTTCCCCAGATGTGGGAGATCCAGATGGAGTTCTCGGCTTTGGTCTGGATCCTCCCTAGCCATTACAGCCATTTGTGGAGTGAACTAGGGAATGGAAGATCTCCACCCCCCCCCGTAACTCTGCCTTTGCAACAAATAAATTGAAAGAAAGCAAGAAAAAAGAAAGGAAGGAAGGAAGGAAGGAAGGAAGGAAGGAAGGAAGGAAGGAAGGAAGGAAGGAAGGAAGGAAGGAAGGAAGGAAGGAAGGAAGGAAGAAATTACAAGGAAGGTGGTCACCAGTTATTGTGCAACTTTAGTTGAAATGCCCCAGGCAGAGAACACCTGTATCCTTTCATCGTTCTAACCAGTTAGCTTTTCATTCCTATTGCTCTGGAGTTTCTCTGCTAAAACACACAAGTGTTACCAAGTATTGATCAGAATAGCAAAACGAGAGAGTTCCCATGATTATATGTGGGCTGCAACCAGTACCCCAAGCCCACTGAGATGATTAAGATCTTCATTAACTTAGCCAAAACTGAAGCCAAAGAAATGCGGTAAGCCAGGCAATGCCTTTAGATGGAAATAGGTGATTCCATCTGACCAGAGTCATATTCTAGAATGGGAAAATTCTGCAGATAAGTGAAAGGAGAGAGATGCAATAAAAAATACCAATGCACAAGGAATCTGAGGGGAAGGAAAGTTCTAAACTCGCACTTTGTCCTGGGTGTTTAGCCACCATTGTACTAAAATACTGCTTCTAAATGGGAACTTTGTGCCCATTTGTGTCATTTTCTTGCCACAAACCTTACTAGAGACTTTTATGAGGATTGTCAATTAAGAAATTCTACTTCCAAGAGGAAAAAACCGACTTAAAGGTTTTAAACATAATTTCTATATCCAAACATTTATTTAAAACATATTTTTGAAGTCTAAACATTATAAAGGCAGGTTAATCAGAAGGTCAGACACCAAAACACAGCCTTGCAATAAAGCTGTTTCTATGTAATTTATTTGACTAGAGAATATAAACGAAATTTTTTGTTTTTGCTGTTAAGAAAGGCTTGGGAGGACTAAGTGACAAAAAGAATTTAGCACCATTTGGGATTATCAGATTAATATCAATTTTTAAAAAGTACCCTTTAATTCAGCATTCCATAAAGCATACTCATTATGGGACAAAAATAACACAGTGCTCACTGGAGGAATTTCTATAGCTTTCAGCATTAGAACCGGTGTTTCCCTCTGAAAAATCTGAGTCAGAGAAGCCTTCTTTTTCTTCCTCTTGTCTCTTACATGGTGATGCCAGAATCAACTCAACTCTGCTTGTATTGGTAGGGTTGTCTTTCTTTTTCAGGAGAACAGGTTGACTAATTGCTTCAAGAGATTCTTCACAACCAGGTTTCTGAAAAGCCCCTGCAACCTCATTTTCACTGTCCCTGTCTTCTGGGGGTTTTATAGTTTTAGTGGCCCCAATGTCATGGTCCACATAGAGTTGTGGGATTCTGGGGTTCTCACTCCCACTTTCAGAGCCACAAAGATCTATCAATAAATCAGTCACAGCTTCTTCTCCTCCCAACACTTTATCACAGTGGTTGACTTGAGATTCCAAACCATTACTGTTAACCCTCATGCCAGAGGCCTCTGCAGCTGCCTGGTATAAATGCAGAACTGCCCCCAAGGACCCGGCCTGTTCTGACTGTGAGAGCTCCTTGTTAGGAGTGTCTTCCTTCTCTGACACCTGGAGCCAGTCGGGAGGAACTTGAGAGGATTCTGTAAGAAGCTTCTCAAAACCACTATCAAAAGCACTCTCAGTTACTGAGGGAGCCTCAGCCTTTTCTACTGTTTCTTTTATTTCCTCAAGATGGAATTCAGGAGTAAGTTGCTTGGGCACCTTCGTACTATCTGTTACTTTGGCTGGGAAAAGAGTCCCTGAATCATTTTCACATTTTGAAGAGGAGGTGTTAATTGTTTCCTTCATAAGTTTTTCTAATCCAGCACTGAATTCAAGGAACTCTGACCTGGGTTGAATAATTGTTTCCCTCACAATTTCTGCCACTTCCCAGGATAGCTCCTTGCCATTCTGAGGATCAGTAGAAGCAGATGACCTAGGGGTCTGTTCTGATAGAGACATTGGGGTGGCTAAACAAGATCTAACTTCATGAGTTTTATCAGGACCTACATTAAAGGAATAAAAATCCTTCTCAGGAAATATGGTGTCCATTGTAGCCCACAGTGGGATCACTGCCTGGGAATTTGGGGGGTAACCTGCTGCCTGTACTCCTTCAGAAAATTCTTTCACTTCTCTAGGACCTGCTTCCCTCCCAGCTGGATAACTCAACCAAGATTCTGTAACTAGCTTCTGTAATGCAGCATTTACATTATCTGATGCAGGTTTGGGTGGAAGAACAACTTTTTCTATAGTCTCTGAAATTTCCCTTGGAGAAGGCAGTGCCTTATCCTGGGGAGCAAGATAAGTAACCCAAGACAAAGGCCTGTCGTGGGGAGAATTGTCCACATTCCCCAAAGAACCCTTTCTGTGGAGATGGGAAGGCTGGTCCAACGGATGAGAAAGTTCTGCAGCCATTTGAAGTAAGTTCTCCGTGTTGAGCTGGCACTCACCACTTTCAGTTTTCAGAGCAAAAGCTGTGTTTCCTGAAGCTTCATCCCTCTCTGGATAAGGAGCTATTATTTCTCCTTGATGGGCTGAAGTGTTGTCACTCTGTTCTATCCCTTTTTCAAAAAATCTACCCTCAGCAGGCTCAGAGTTTGTGCTAGTGGTAACGGGGTCCAAGTTGGTTTGCAAGGGAGAAAGTGAAGGTCCAGTTGTTTCCTTCAAGAGTTTGTCAAGTCCGGCAGTTAAAGTGTTCTGGTTGAACTTTGTAGGGGCTACTGTTTTGTCCACATGCTCATCAGTGACCTTAGGTTCTTTGTCTTTTTCAGTATCAGCAAAATCTGTCTTCTGCGGCCATGTTCTATTTTGAGAAACATCTAGTTTGAGCACTTGTTTTCCATGAATTTTTTCACTAGAAGGCTGAATCGCTGGTGATGAAGCTTCTGAAAGCAGCTTCTGTAAGCTGTCATTAAAAGTATCTTTGTAGTCTTTAGAAACAACACTTGTTTTCACAATGGATTCTTGAATATCTTGACCTGAGTAATCCTCTTCTTTCTTGAACACTGGGGTAACATATCCTTCCAAATTCTTTTCCACATTTTCCTTTGATGATTCATTTCCCGACAACTGATCAGTGGATTCCCTGGGTAGTCCCAATGAAAATATGGTTTCATTTGGTAGCACCTGGAATTTGTACTTTGAATTAAATTTCTCCATTTCCTCTCTTGTCCTAACTTTTTTTTGACTCAGAAGTGCCTCTACTTCACGGGTATTTTCCTCTGATGACTTAATGCTATTGGATTCCTTGAGTTGCTGGCTATTAGAAGGCAGAGAATGCTTTTGGTTTATAGTGGTAGCATTCTTCTCATCATTATCTTTATAGTTTGGATTAGCTCCTAAGTCCCAAAACTTTTTCAGATTCTCAAATTGAGAGTGATTATAGACATGTTCTGCACTGGGTTCATCTATTCTTTCTTTCAGGGACACAACCTTAAAGTTGGTATTTGATTCACCAATTAGAGATCTGTCTTTCTCCAAAGAAGTGTATTTTTCATTTCCAACATTTGTGGAATGTGGCGGTGCTGATGAAGTAATGGATCTTATAGAGTGTGAACTGTCTTCCAGTGGCAATCCTTGTTTAGGTGCATCTATCTTATTCTGAAACAGAGACACTTTATCTGAGTGGTCAGCTGCAGGATGGATTTTGGATGGATCTGATCTTTGGAACCTGCTCTCTTTAGGTTTATTTGAGGAATAAAAGCTAGGGAAGTGGGATGCTTGATCATCCTCATCTAAAATGATTTTTCTGGCAGTGAACTTATTATATTCATTCTGGCTTGTAGATAAACTGCCCGTGGAAGCACTCTGGGACTTCGCAGCCTGGGATGCTTTAGTAGAGGGTTGTTTCTGGTTAAATGACGATGTGGGTTCTTTAGGAGTTAATTTAGCAGTAGCTGTCTCTCCTTCCCAAAAGGATATTCTGTCACTCACTCTTTTGTATCTCTCTCTTAGCACTTGGTTCTGGGGAACGCCACCAGCTTCTTTTTGTAATTGAACCTCAGGCTTCTTCCAAGAGGATCCATCATTAGCAGCCTCAGGTGGCAATGCAGTATTCCTCGGCTCTAAGGAAGCTCTCGGGGTAGAAGCATCTGCTTCTTTGTTCTTTCTCTCAGCTTTCATGTTGTCTTTCAATCTTGATTCTTGGACAGTTATTGAAGGGTCAAAATTCACTTCTGCATTTCCTCTATTTTTTTCATGAACACAAAGATGGGGGTCTTCCTCTCCCAAGCTGCCAACATTACTGTTGTGTGGAACTTGGGCTTCTGATTTGGATCCCTTGTGAACACTGTATGAATAGTTACTGGTTGGGGAAAATATTCCATTTCCTTCTTCCATGCTTCCTGAACCTTGGCTATAGTCCATATTTTTACTCGCTTGACCAGGGATGTCATAGATTTCAAATGGTTGCAATACAACTGGGCCTTCCTTTGGGGTGCCTTGTTGAGGGAAATTTATAGAGTTCAATTTGATATTCTCATGATTATCATGGCAATTTCCAGAAGGCAACATATCTCGCTCTACCTGGAATGTTGAATCAGAATTCACAGGCTTCAAGCCAACTTTAGTGGATGGCAGGGTCTTGGAGTCATTTTCTTTTAGACCGGTGTCATCTGCCACCACGGAAATAGCAACTTGTGATTCCGAGTCTGTTTTTAGTTTGGACTCCTTTCCTTGGGGATATTGGAAGGATGACTTATTGCCATCAGAATGAGAACTTCTGTTAAACCAGTCTAGGACTTTAGATATGGAATCATCAGTTGTTTTCCTTATCTCATTGGCATATGGACCAGAGCTTGAGGTTGTCTTAGTGGTTAGAGTGGTAAGAAAAGGGGGCTTACCTTGCTGATGGTCTCTAGAACTGTGATCTGGCACCTGAGATGGCTCAGGCTCAACACCATGAGACAGTTCATCTGCAACATAGAAATGCTTTTCTAAATAAGAGAATGCTTAAAGAATTATGATTCAATCATCAATTCTGTTTAAAAAGGTACTTTATTCTTCCTACTCCACTAGCTGTTTATATCAGCATCTTTCATGGATTTATAACTTACATTATATGTAAGTCATCCTAATTAAAATATTCTATATAGGTGCCCTAGGACAGTGAAAGGAAGGTAAATGTAAACCCCTGGAACTAAAGAATATAGACCTAATTAGGAAATTTCTTTGAAATCCCTGGTTTATTTTAAAAATTAATGTGAATTTTGCATTCTGCTTCATGTATCATTTTTAGCATTAAGTTTCTCCTCTCTCAAGCCTTTGCACAAAACTGATACACCAAGCTGATTTTATGAGTTTACTCAAACCTCTCACAGTGTCATAAGCCCTAGAGGAGGCTTAAATGCAAATTTGAGGAAGAGAAATTTGTGTGATTTCAGGAATCAGAAAAATAATTTCAAGGAAGACTAAATAAGGAATTCCCTACAGAACATCTGAATGGGACAATGAGGATATTTGCATTCCTGGGTCTTATTCCTGATTTATTGAACCAGAACCTATAGAGATGGGGCCCAGCACCCATCTATTCTCGTGATTATTTTGCACACTGGAGTTTAAGAACCATGATCTCACCTGGCTTCCTCCGTTTTGTCCTATTTCCTTTCTGTCTGTAAGTTGGACGTTGTTTCTGTGAGCTAAATAAAAGGACTGATGGACAATGTGCTTACTTTCTGTTCCCCGATGTCAGGTAACTAATGTCAGGCTATAAGGCTGGAGGATATTTAAGTTCTTTCTAAGCTTTCAAGAAAGCAGAGAGACTTTTCCGAGCCTAGTCATGGGCACATAGTACATTTAGATGAGGGAACACACATTTTACTGAGACTTGTTAGGAATTTAGTTAAGGCCTTATAATTAAGGCTCAGATATTTTAGCGTTTCTCCTCTTCCTAAAAATGCTAAGCTATCTAACACATGTAACAAGGATGTTCCTAAAAACTGAGATGAAAGTTTATAAAGTCAGCCACATTTCAAAGGTACTAGAAGGAATATCTGTTAATAAAAATCCAATCTTTAATTTTAATTGTCAACCTCAGCTAAACATGAAAATAAGGTTTGTACAATAATTGGTACACAGCAAATATTGGTTTCCTTCTTTAAGTGTGCGTTGTATTATTAAATGTGTCATTAATTGTGAAATTCCTTTGAGAAATCTGTAGGAATTCTATGTTTATATACTATTTAATAATGATGGAAAAAATGTCTGATACACTGTTAGTGAAAAGAGCAGGCTGGGCAACATAAATTCAATTGACAATTATTTTCATGCCTAAAAATCATTGGAAAGCTTTACAACTAAATGTTAGAAATAGTTAATGCTGAATGATATCATAGATGAGATTTTTAGAAATTCTGTTGCATTTATTCTTCTTAAGTGTTTACAGTGAAGGTTCTTGCTTTTAAATTAAGAATATTTTAAAAATTCAATACCAGGTAATATTTCATTTCCTTTGAAGAATTCTTCTTATCCTGGTATGATAATCAGGGTAATACTGGCTGTCCTAAAGCTCAGAGCTAATGTCAAATGCTAGTGATTTACTCACTCACAGTTAACTACTGTTTTTAGTCCTATTTTCTTTTTATGTTCAAGTATTTGCTTAAATATATTTTTGCAGTTTGCAAAAGGGGGAAAGCACGGCATTAGTGGGTGAGCAGAACTTTGTTTATAGGTATTCTCCGAGACCAAAAGGACTATCAATCAAAAAGATGTTTTCCTCCCAAATTTAACGGTTAGTTAGGATTTAAAGATCAGAAATCACAGATAAGCAACTACAAAACCATAACCCATGGAAAAGCAGGTGCAATTTCAAAAGTAGGAATGGAAGACCTTTTTAATATTGATTGTAGTAATGGGAATTATTATCAGAGGATTTCTTTTGGCCTTTCAATAAATATTTATGTAAATATTTCACAATTATTTGCTGATGTTTAATCGAATGTTAGTGATTTCCTTTAACATGAGGTTTTTTTTTTTTTTGAAGAAGCAACTGCTCATTTTAAATTTTTTTTTTTTTTTTTTTGACAGGCAGAGTGGACAGTGAGAGAGAAACAGAGAGAAAGGTCTTCCTTTGCTGTTGGTTCACCCTCCAATGGCCGCCGTGGCCGGAGCGCTGCAGCCGGTGCACCACGCTGATCCAAAGCCAGGTGCTTCTCCTGGTCTCCCATGCGGGTACAGGGCCCAAGTACTTGGGCCATCCTCCACTGCATTTCCAGACCACAGCAGAGAGCTGGCCTGGAAGAGGAGCAACTGGGACAGAATCTGGCACCCCAACCGGGACTAGAACCCGGTGTGCCGGCACCACAAGGTGGAGGATTAGCCTATTGAGCCGCGGTGCCAGCCTAATTTCCCTTTTTTTTTTTTTTAAGGTTTTATTTATTTATTTGAGAGGTAGAATTACAGAGAGAGAGAGGGTGAGACAGAGATAAAGGTCTTCCATCTGCTGGTTCACTCCCCAAATGGCCTCAATGGTCAGAGCTGGGCTAATCTGAAACCAGGTGCTAGGAGCTTCTTCCTGGCTTTCCATGCAGGTGCAGGGGCCCAAGCACTTGGGCCACCCTCCATTGCTTTCCCAGGCCATAGTAGAGAGCTGGATTGGAAATGAGCAGCTAGGACACAAACCGGCACCCATATGGAATGCCGGCGCTACAGGCGGAGGCTTACCTTACTGTGACACACGCCAAAACCAGCTTAAAGCCAGCATCCTTGGTTTTAAGCATTTTAGACAAATGTAGTCCTGTTCAAATTATTTAAAATGTCTTGTTGAGGGTGCCTTGTCTGTTAAATGGACTGACCCCCAACATAGATGAAACTGTAAGGCTGAGCAAAAGTGACTCAGGGTTAACGTAATACTAACAAAGGAGAGGGACAGCAACAGAGTTAATAGCTTGATTGTTGCTGTTGTAAATACTACTGACTATAAAGAAATTATCATAGGGTTGGATGCATACACACTGAAACTGAGGAAGAGTATACAGCATTATTTTTCTATTTCCATATATATATATATATATTTTTTTTTTTTTTGGACAGGCACAGTGGATAGTGAGAGAGAGAGAGACAGAGAGAAAGGTCTTCCTTTTTGCCGTTGGTTCACCCTCCAATGGCCGCCACGGCTGGCGCGCTGCGGCCGGCGCACCGCAGTGATCCGAAGGCAGGAGCCAGGTGCTTCTCCTGGTCTCCCATGGGGTGCAGGGTCCAAGCACTTGGGCCATCCTCCACTGCCTTCCCGGGCCACAGCAGAGAGCTGGCCTGGAAGAGGGGCAACCGGGAAAGAATCCAGCGCCCCGACCGGAACTAGAACCCGGTGTGCTGGCGCCGCTAGGTGGAGGATTAGCCTATTGAGCTGCAGCGCTGGCCCTATTTCCATATTTTTAAACATAAGAATTATGAAGTAATAATATAGGTATGAGAACATGGATTAAAGCATCCAATGAGAGTGATAAGATCCTCAAGACAGGGCTAGTTGGGGTCAGTGTTGTGATGCAGCAGGTTAAACTGCCACTTGCGATGCCTGCATTTTATAAGGGCACCAGTTCAAGTCCTGGCTGCTCCACTTTTGATCCAGTTCCCTGCTAATCTGCCTGGGAAAGCAGCAAAGGCTTAGGCCCGTGGTATCCATGTGGGAGACTGGATGGCGTTCTAGGCCCCAATTCCAGTCGTTGCAGCCATTTGGGAAGTGAACCAGTGGATGGAAGATCTTTCTCTCTCTCTCCCTCTCTGTGAGTGTGTGTCTGCCTTTCAAATAAATAATCTAAAAATAAATGAATAAATAAGTAAAATCTCTTTTAAAAGGGCTAGTTAACAGAGAACGGTGTTGTCCTCATTGCCTCTCAACTCACTCCATTTGAAGGAAAAAATTCTTTCAGGAATTTAAAGTCTAAGAACAAAGACTGGAGACCCTGAGCAAGCCAGTCTGGGCTTTTTCATTACAGGGACTCCAACTCTATTTTTCCATCTTTCAAGGCTAAGAAAGTAAAGATTTTTTTTTTTTGAGATTACAAGAAATACCAAAGTTCAGGAAAATAGTAATTGTTAAATTCTGCATTAGGTGAGAATTAATATGCTCATCTGTTAAATAATTCATTTGGTTGCATTTATAGCTTACTGCATAAATGGTCAGAAACTGCTATCCTCATTCTTATAGTCATAGGTAATTGGGGAAAACTTCCAAAGTCATTCAGAGGTATAAACCAGTCCCTGATGGCATCTGTCTAGCTAGAATGCCTAGGAGGTAAAATTCTGCTTCTTAATGCTGGCTGACTGGTCTGTCCATTCCCAGCACACTGGGTTAGTTTTTATAATCTGGTAGTGACAACTCTTACCAGCAGGGTTTTTGGTTAATTCTGACTCAAGCCTTGGTAATTCTGATGATTTAGCTTGGTGTTCATGGATGCCAGGTGAATTCTCAGTGGACTGTGGTCCTGTAGTTAAAACTTTTGAGTTAGAATGGAGCCCATGATTTGGAAAAGACCCAGAAGTCACTGGTGGATCTGCTTCATTTATTGATACACTTGGGCTTGAGGCTGAGAGAGGAAAAGGAAAAGGCTTCCCGCATGGGGAGGATGTGAGGTCATTCTGAAGCTCGTCTACATCCCCTGCAGCGTCTGTTCCATTCTTCAACCTGTCAGCTTCTAGAACACTAAACTCCCCCACTTCCCGGCCGTGGTTGAGCCCAGGGCCCTGTGGAAGTTCGTCCTTCACTGCAGAGAACCTCACATGCTTGAGTGGCTCCAGTGAGTTTAGGGAAGAGTCATCTTCCAAAGAATTCTCCTTCTCAGAAATTCTCTCATGGATGGTTAGGCCAGGTGACACAATTTTGCTCTTGGGTTCAAAACTGTGATTTAAACGAAGGGTCTCTGAGTCTGTGCTACTGGAACTGGAGTTGCGCTTGAGGATCCCTCTTGGAGCCCCTCTTGCATTCAGGGAATCTGTCCTTTGTCTGGGAAAAGACTGGTTATCATCTTGCTTTAAGTCATTTGATTTGTTGATCATCTTCCTGGCTTTTGGAATTGGGACCTTGATTTGGGATCCATTTGCAGAGCTTGGCAAAGTCTGCTTTGAATTCTCTAACTTTTGGCTTGAAATATCTTGGATAGATGAATTTTCTTTTGATTCTGATAATTCACCTGACAATCAGAACACATTAGGTGATATATCAAATAAATAGTAACTCTACAGTTTAAAATATCTATAAATAAGCTTAATCATGTTTAGTGGAAGGTAGTAAAATATTAAAGTTAGTAAAGTAGGTAGTGTAAGTACAGACCTAATGTAAAAAGCCTTCAAAATTCATGCATCAGAGCACAGAGAATTTTTTAGGGCAGTGAAACTATTCTGAATAACAATCGGGGATAACTGGCATCACATATTTGTCCAAACCCACAGGCCATATAACACCAAGAGTGAACCCTAATGTAAACTGTGGACTTTGGGTGATAATGGTGTCTCAGTGTAGTTCATCAGGTGTAAGAAATGAGCCAGTTTGGTGAGGGATGTTGATAATGAGGGAGGCTAGCATATGTAGGCATAGGGTATACACAACAGACATTTACACTTTCTGCTCAATCTTGCTGTGAAACTAACACTGTCCTACAAAATAAAAGCTATTTAAAAATTCACACACAAACATCGTACCGTATATAGACTGTGCATTTGAGGTAACAGTCCTTTTTATACTTTGGGGACTTTTACATGCAAACAGAATGTTTTTTTAAAAAATAATTTCTCAAAAGAGTCTTGAAGAAAAACACAAAAGTCACTTTAAAACTTCATATATGCTGGGCTGGCCTTGTGGTGTAGTGGGTTAAGCCATAGGCTGTGTCACTGGCCTCCCATATGGCGCTAATTTGAATCCCAGCTGCTCCACTTCTAATCCAGTTACCTACTAATGTGCCTGGGAAATCAGTGAAAGATGACCCAAGCAGTTGGACCCTGGTCACCCACATGGGATATCCAGATGATGCTCCTGGCTCCTGGCTTCAGCTTGGCCCAACCCTAGCTGTTTCTGCCATTTGGAGAATGAACCAGAGGATATAAGATCTCTCTTTGTTTTTCCCTTTTTCTCTCTGTAACTCCACCTTTCAATTAAATAAAATTTTTTTTTTTTGACTGGCAGAGTAGACAGTGAGAGAGATAGAGATAGAGAGAAAGGTCTTCCTTTTCCGTTGGTTCACCCCTCAGTGGCCGCTGCAGCTGGCGTACTGCGGCCAGCGCACCACGCTGATCCGAAGCCAGGAGCCAGGTGCTTCTCCTGGTCTCCCATGCAGGTTCAGGGCCCAAGGACCTGGGCCATCCTCCACTGCACTCCGGGGCCACAGCAGAGAGCTGGACTGGAAGAGGAGTGACTGGGACAGAATCTGGCCTCCCGACCAGGACAAGAATCCAGTGCACCGGTGCCACAGGCAGAGGATTGGCCTATTGAGCCATGGTGATGGCCTAAATAAATCTTTTAAAAAATTCATGTATGGAAATAATTAAAGGAAACTCAATTAAAAATTATTTGGAGATAGGTAAGGAGAAGGAAATAGAGGAGAAGGAAAGAGAGGAGGAGGGAGGGAGGGGGAAGAGGGGAAAAAGAGAGAGAGGGATAGTGAGAGAGAGAGAGAGAGAGAGAGAGAGAGTGAGCAAGTGCGAGGGCCTCCCAGGCACTCCTCAAATGACTGCAACAGCCAGGGCATGGCCAAGCTGAAGCCAGAAGCCAGTAACTCCATCCAAGACCTCCCATGTGGTGCAGGGACCTCACAACTTGAACCAACAACTGGTGCCTCCCAGAGTGCACATTAGCAGGAAGCTGGAGCTGAGAGCAGAGCCAGGACAAAAATACATGTACTCTGAAATGGCAAGCCAGGTGTCTTACCAGTGTCTTAATGGCTAGGTTATATGCCTGCCCCAGACTTTAATTTTTTAAAGAGAAATTTCCAATACATAAAACAAAAGAATTGTAAAATTAAAAAAAAAAAACAGGGAACATGTATCAGTGATTCTTTTTCCTATGAAATATTGTATATAAAGTATGCCCAATAGAAAATGCACTAATATACTAATATTAAAACTCTTGCTCTACTGTTCAGTTGTTAGTTATGTGCCCCTTGACCAATCTTTAATGTTTGTGGGGTCCTTTTACAATTGATTTTCAAGAGATTGCCTGGTCTAGTACTGGTATTTCTTCTCAATAGTATGTAAGCACAGAAAAATTACTTAAGAGAAAGACTTAAATCAATTACGTCAAAAATCTCATCAAATGTTCCTGGGCCACTGGGCTATTAATTACAGAATAGAGCAGTATAACATTGTCAAGCATCCCTTTGCTCTTGAGGTATCTTATTTTCATTTAAAACAGAGAACTGTGTCAGCATGTGGTAGGCATGTAGTAAATTTGTTAAGTGAAAGACTGAATGCCTTTGGTCAAAAAATTGCCCAATTCACTGATGAGGGAACCCAAGCCATGGAGATCATGTAACAAGTGGCAGCTGCAAAACTGGAATTCATGAACTTCCAGTTTCTAAAATTTCTGCTTTCTCTCCCCTAGGGAGGAAACCAGTGGGCATAGCAGAGTAACAAAACCATCAGGACCTTTCACTTTCTCTTGGAAGTTATTTTAGTTAAAGGAACTCTGAGAATTTCCCCTAGTTCACAGATAACCAAGATAAAAATATCTAGTCCATAAAAGTAATATTTACCCTCCTTGGAAATCTGAAATAAACCAGCTCTTCCATTTTTTGACTGTTCATTTTTGATTTGCTGTGATAAGTGATCTTCTGATAACTTGGAGCCATTAAATGGATTCTTCCTTTGCTGGGGAAAAATATTATTTATTAAACTTATTTAAAAACTTATTTTAAATGGCATAACAGCAAGTCAGTGTTGGCAAATGCTTATTCTCTCAAATATTTGATAGCTTTATCTAGTAAAATCTGTAAAATGGTTGTCCTGATTTATCTGTTTAGCACAAAATTATCATATATACCATAAAATAAAATTGTATAAAACATATAAAATATTTCATGTCAGAGTATTGCAAAGTTAGATAAAAAACAAGCCTTCAAGTCAAGATACTGTTTTTAAGGTGAGAAAAATTTGGTCTTGGATATATCAAGGATCTGGTCAGGATCAAGGCAAACCTGGATCTCAAATCAGGTCAGATTCTCTCCAGTGCTCTTTCTACCACTCATCAGCTGCAAGATTACATTAGGAACTACAATTTTAATTGATTCATCATAAGGATTTAGAAGACACTTAAGGTATCTTGAAGTACTTGTTAGTCACTACTATGATCATTAGTTCTAATGACAGGGGTATCAGTAAATAGAGATTTTTTTATTAATGTAAGATTGAATACCACTGTTTATTATCTGCAGTTTCATAAACTGGTAATTCCCTCCCAGAAGCATACCTCTAATGGAGATTGAGGACACTATGAGTAGGAATAAGGACTGACATGGAATAATAAGCCACTTTCCAAATGCCTATAAACAGCAATACCAAATTGCTCAGATTTTTACTCTCCAGGGCAAGAAATCTGGATCTTCAACAATGTAGCTACATGGTATTCATCAATTTTCCCACTACAAGAGTGACTTCTTACACTAAGTTGTGAAAATTATTGTTATCTAGTACAAAAAAAAACCCTGCAAAACATTATTTTTGTGGTGCTTCAATAAAATTAGAAAAATGTCATTCCCACCAAAAAATTAGATGTTTGAAGTCTGGGCTCAGTCTACCTTGGCTGGAGATACATCTGATTTCCTTGTGTTTTCTTGGGACACATCAATCGTAGTACAAGCTGGATTTACCACATTGGAGCTGCAAAGGAAACAATTATTCAGAGAATGAAACCTCACCCTTTGAGGAAGCATAAGCCATGCCTCTGAAGTGAAAAGTTATTAAAGCAGGATAGGAAAGGAACTTTGTAAAACCAACCAGGGGGGCCGGCACCATGGCTCACTTGGTTAATCCTCCACCTGTGGCACTGGAATCCCATATAGGTGCCAGGTTCTAGGCCTGGTTGCTCCTCTTCCAGTCCAGCTCTTTGCTGTGGCCCGGAAGGGCAGTGGAGTATGGCCCAAGAGCTTGGGCCCTGCACCCACATGGGAGACCAGGAAGGGGCACTTGGCTCCTGGCTTCGGATTGGTGCAGTGCCGGCCATGGTGGCCATTTGGGGAGTGAAGCAGTGGAGGGAAGACCTCTCTCTCTCTCTCTCTCTCTCTCTCTCTTTCTCTGTCTATAACTCTGTCAAATAAAAAAAAAAAAAAAAAGTAAAACCAACCAGGAAGGGAGATGGAATTGGGGTCTAGAGATGATTATGCAATGATGTAAAGACAATAGCAGAGTAGAAAAGAAAGGCAACCATGAGACAAGATAAAGTCACCCATCAGAAGCTTTGAGGGCTTCACGGGGTACCAGGCACACTAGAGGTTTCCAATTTAAATTTGTGGAAGTGAACTTGTCTCAAAGTCAGAGGCTAAGATCAGATGCAGACTAAAAAGTGAACCTTTGATTTCACTGCTGAAATAAAGCTACAGGAGTTTTAGGGTTTGATTCCATACGGCAGGGCCAGTGTTTACTCAGGTTGGAAATAACTGAAGAAAATCTCGCTGAGGGGGCTGGCATTGTGGGGCAACAGAGTAATCCCAGTTGCAGGGCTAGCATTGTGGCATAATGGGTTAACCAGCTGCCTACAGTGCCAGCATCTCATGTGGGCTTTAGTTGGAGTCCCAACTGCTCTTGTTTGGATCCAGCTCCCTGCCAATGTGCCTAGAAAAGCAGTGGAAGATGGCCAAAGTGCTTTGGCCTCTGTCAACTACATGGGAGACCTGAATCGAGGTCTAGGCTCCTGGCTTTGGGCTGGTCCAGCCCCAGCTGTTGCAGCCATTTGGAGAGTAAACCAGTAGATGGAAGACATCTCTCTCATACACACTCTGCCTTTCAAATAAATAAATCTTTAAACAAAAACAAAAACCCAAAGCCTTGGTGAGAGAAATGACTCAGCAAAAGGAGATGCCATGCAGGAAGGCTAGTGGGTATAGGCATCTTAAGGGATCTTTACACCCAAGCTGGATAAGTAAATTATTCAAATGCAGAGGGACAAAGACAAGTATTGAGAAAAGAGAGGCGGAATCTCTAGATTCCCTGTCTGATGGTTCCCTGTCTTAGGGAAAGGACAGCCACACGGTGACAGCCCTAAGGCAAGAGTGAATGAAGAAAGTGAGTTAAGATTCCCTCCTGAACAACCATTCCCTTAGCTACTGAATGGAAAGGGCAACCTGTTCAGACTTCTTCCTCTAGTGGCTTTGCCGGTATAAGAGGTGAAGTCACAATTGATTGAAACCACTATGCCCTGTTAAATACCACCAGTTCTTTTAATGACACCATAGAGGGTGCTGACTTTCTACATGCAGCAAAAGAAACCAGAAGCCCAAGGAGGGAAGCAATTTGCCCCAAAGCCATAGGACATTGCCCAAGATTGTCACTAAACTCCTGGGCTTGATGTTCCTGCAGCTTTGTTTCCATTGCTTACTTCTGTACTTCAATCACTACTTTTGTATAGTTAATCCAGGAAAAGAAAGAATTAAAGAATTCTTGTGGGTTTGTTTTGTTTTGTTTTAGAGGCAGAGAGACAGAAACCTTCCCATCTGCTGGTTTACTCCCCCAAATAGTCAGATCTGGGCCTGTGACACAGCTGGGATCCAGAACCCAATCCAGGTCTCCCATGTGGGTGGTAGAGACCTAAATACTTGAGCCATTACCTGCATTAGCAGGAAGCTGGAGACTGGAGCAGAGCCAGGTATCAAACCCAGTTACTCCACCATGGGATAGTGGGCATCTTAATTAGCATCTTAACCACCAATCTAAGTGTCTGCTCCAAGGCTGAACTCTTGAAGAAGCCATTATTCCTTTCACTATCCTCATTTTTCCAGGAAGGAATTACAGCAGATGAAACATAAGTGCATAAAATACAGACTGAAAGCCAAGTTGTAGTGTAGTGGGCAAAACCACTGTCCACAATGCCAGCATCCCATATGGTTGCCAGTTCAAGTCCTAGCCGCTCCACTTTGGATCCAGCTCTCTGCTAATGGCCTGGGAAAAGCAGCAGAAGATGGCCCAAGTGTTTGGGCCCCTTCCATCCATGTGGGAGACTTGGAAGAAGCTCCTGGCTCCTAGCTTCAGCTTGGTCCAGATCTGGCCACTGTGTCCATCTGGGGAGTAAACCTGAAAATGGAAAACATCTATTTCCTTCTCTGTCTCTCTCTCTCTCCCTCACTCCTTCCCTCTGTAACTCTTTCAAATATAAATAAATAGGGGCCAGTGCTGTGGCACAGCAAGCTAACACCCTGGCCTGAAGCGCTGGCATCCCATATGGGCACCAGTTCTAGTCCCGGCTGCTCCTCTTCTGATCCAACTCTCTGCTATGGCCTGGGAAAGCAATAGAAGATGGCCCAGGTCCTTGGGCCCCTGCACCCACGTGGGAGACCTGGAAGAAGCTCCTGGCTCCTGGCTTTGATCGGCACAGCCGTTGCAGCTATCTGGAGAGTGAACCATCGGATGGAAGACCTTTCTCTCTCTCTGCCTCTCTCTCTGTGTAACTCTTTCAAATAAATAAATAAATCTTAAAAAAAAAATAAAAACAAATAAATAAATTTTTTAAAATAAAAAAATAGCCTGATCAAATGGATGCAAGAATGAGGAGAAAAGGGGATTAGAGAGGAAGGGCAGGGAACAGAGTAGGCTAACAGAAAGACACATTACAGGAGTCCTCTATTCCTGCAATAGGTGAGCACAAATTTGAACCAAGTTATCTAGCAGCAAAAGCGAAAAAGAAATATGACCATTGATGAATTTAGTGTTCATACAATAAAAATAGCCAGTAGCTTAGGAATGGAAAACAAAATTTCGAATATTATCTTTTGTTCGTTTTTAAAATTTTTTTTTATTTCTTTGAGAGTTAGAGACAGAGGGAGGGAGGGACAGAGAGAGAAAGGTCTTCCATCCACTGGTTTATTCCCTAAATGGCTGCAACAGCTGGAGCTGGGACAATCCCGAGGCAGGAGCCAGAAGATTCCTCTGGGTCTTCCATGCAGGTGCAGGGGCCCAAGCACTTGGGTCTTATACTGCTTTCCCAGGACATAACAGAGCACTGTATCAGAAGAGGAGCAGCCAGGACACAAACTGGCACCCATGTGGGTTGCTGGCACCACAGGTGGAAGCTTAGCCTACTGTGCCGCAGCGCTGGCCCCTCTTATTATTTTAAGAAGCCAGTGGGTGATAGAAGGAACAGCATTCTTTTAAGATTTTTTTTAAATTTATTTACTTGAGAGGTAGAGTTACAGACAGAGAGAAAGGTCTTCCATCTGCTGGTTCACTCCCCAGATGGCTGCAACAGCCAGAGCTGAGCCAATCCAAAGCCAGGAGCCAGGAGCTTCTTCCAGGTATCCCACGTGAATGCAGGGGCCCAAGCACTTGGGCTATCTTCCACTGCTTTTGCAGGCCATAGCAGAGAGCTGAATTGGAAGAGGAGCAGCCAGGACTAGAACTGGCACCCATATAGGATGCTGGCACTGCAGGCAGAGGATTAACCTACTGCGCCACAGCTTCGGCCCAGAACAGCATTCTTACAATAGAGGCTATGCTCAGTTTCTTGAGAGTGTTTCATAGGATCTCCCTTAGTAAGTAAGGCAGTCACATAATCAAGATCTGAGCCAATTTTGATGGTTGAGGTCTCCACACTCTTCTCCTACCATCTTCCTTTCCTCCTTGCAATCCCCAAACCCAAAAAATAAGCACACCCTCTACGTTCTTCTCCCTCTGTTCCTGGGAAATCCTGGAAATTCTCAAGGCCCCAGTTCTGTACATCATGTTCTACTTAGAGATGAAACCACTACCTGTTCTGGTACTTATTTCCTGTCTACTACACACATCATCCTGCACACCCATATCTCACAGAAAATTGGGAGATCCCTTAAGAGTATCATGACCATTATTATATCCCCTCAGTGCCTTCCACAGTACCTGATAAATGACTAAATAAATGAATGCCAGTGGAACCAGTGACCAAGAAGACAGCAGCAGACAGGTGGCTGGTTTAAAAAAAAAAATCCATGATGTTTGCCTAATTACAACGGGGCAGATTATTTAGGTATTAAACAAAATGTCTTTGTTCCAGCTATTCAGGAAGCAAGAGGAGAAGAAACAAAGCAGTCAGAATACATGGCAGAAACATACAGCGTTCATTGGGTTACCTTTTGGTTGGGATAAAGGAAAACTAGGAAGGATGGGAGACTTGGTAAGCTACAGTTCATAGTCTGCTTAACTAGAAAAAAGTTTAAAAAATAATCTTGTGCCTCAAACTCTACAAATACAGCTACTTGCTGATGGCTTGGCTTCTCCCTATGAGTGCTACCATGTTTTGCTTGCCTTTTATCGGGCAATCATCACTGTAGCAACTACCTATTTTGAACTGATCCTTGCAATATCTCCGTGAGGTATATATCATTCTCCCCATTTTGCTTCTGAGAAAATTCAGGCTTAGAGAGGTTAAGCAGCTGTCACAGAATTAGTTAGTGAAAGAACTGAGTGTTTGAATTTAAGTATGTTTGCCCCCCAAAGACAATCATGGCCATGCCTAGGCTACACTGCTTGAATTTTCTTGCATTTTAAAATCAGGACAGGAATCAAGTCTGGGTGATCCTTCCTTCACAGTGATTCTCACATCTGTCTCTCCTTTTCCACCTCTTCCTGATACTTACTCTTTTTCTGTCAACAGCATTAGCCTCACCTCCAGTACTCCTGACTCCCAAGTTTCACTT